TTTAGTTATGAAAATAATGATTATGATTGAAACTAATTAATTATTGTGTCCCTCTTATAATATATACTGTTAGTAATAACTGACTTTTTTAGATATGGGTCTGTCTAAATATAGAGCTATTCTGATGTATTTCTAATTATGACTCAAAAAGTCTAATGTACTTTACATTGTATTCCAGATTTACAGCCCTCATTATTCAATTAAGAGAAAATTAAATAACAAAATGAAGAGACGAGCTGATTACATTTTAGTGAATAAATATCGATACTAAAAATCGAAAAAACACAGATAAATAAAATATTATTCCCTGTAACTCATCGGTGGAAAACACTTCCCACGACATACTTAGAACTTCAAGGAATCTACATGTAATTATTGAGGGTACGCCTGAAAAACAAAGTAACTTCTCAACAAGTTCTTCAGTTATAGAGAACTCGCCTAATTCGTCTCCATTCCAAAAGAAGTACCTGCTCGTTGCATTAAAGAGCCATGTAAGTGTAAATTTAAATATTCGGAAAAGGTAATTGACAGAAAGACATATATTATTTGAAAGATATTGGGCATATTGGCTATAGGCAATATTGATTTGCAGAGACGTTATATCAGATCTTGTATGATGGAAGTTTGTCCTAAACATAGATACACTAAATGCAGCCAAACCTATATCACCGAATAATGATGCTAATAGAATTCGTATTCTTAAGACATTTTTATTAATACACTTAGCATATGTGAACTTCAAATAAGAACTATAAAAAATAAAACCAATCCTCCAAATTTCGTCAATAAAGATAATAGGGGCAAACACCTGTCTAGGAAGCCTATAGAGATTGGAAATCTCATTGAAAATATTGAGGGACATTATAAATTCGATTCCTAGGATTCATTATTTGAGAGCTTCAACTAGTATGGAGTATATTAGGTGTGAGAAGACAATTATAGATCTATGGAAATATTTTGATAAATTACAGAAAGAATAAAGAAAAGCCTACATGTAACTACTTGTTGTACTAAAATATAATGACGTAAAGTGGAAATATAATACTTTCGCGTTTCATCTGGTGAGTGAGGTTGCCGGAGCCCAATTTTCAAAAGGTTGTCGACGCATCTGTAACCCTCGGGTGTGGCAGATGCCCATGGGCGGCGGTATTCACTTAACATGAGGTGAACCGCATGACAACCTTTCACATAAAAAAATATATGTAGTATATTTAAGGAGTTTAATATACGTTTTTTTCAGCCTAAAAAAGATAGATGAATGGTTTAGATATTGTATTAGCAAATCCTACTCGAAAAATAGAAGTTCAAGAAAATCATCTAAAAGAAAAAGATTTTCAAGCCAAGAAAAATATTTAATGCATCAGAATACCAATACACACAAATATCTGCGCAGTCTATGCAGGCTGTTATGCAGTGTACCCGCTGGAGAAATATCAGCTTTTTTCTATAAATCAAAACTTAATTGATTTAATTTTACCATTGTGGGAATAATGAATAAATTAGAAGATTTAAAAAATCGTAAAAAGAACAATGAAGAGAGTGTGAATGAGATAGAGGCATACTATAATACTAATAGCTATTTCTGGTTCAGGGAAAAAGTGGTGCTAACGAAATTGGTCATACGTTTTAGATTATTTATTACGTTTAAATGAGCAGAATTCTAACAAAACTTTACACATCAATTTTTATTCTGCTAATTATTGCAGACACAATAAAAACATTACTTTATTATATTCTTATGCTGTAACTTAATCCAAAACTATTCACATTATTAAATTTTTAGTAAAGGGCTATACCCAAAAAGAAGATAATGTTCATATTTTAATTGAAAAGGAGATTAAAAGAAATAAGATGTCTGGACCTATATACACACCATACCAATATGTCACCTTAATAAAGACCTCTCGCAAGAATGGTAAACCTCCCGCCGGATAACACTACACTCACAGTTAGTGTAACAACAATCACACCAGTTCGCCCTCGCCTTCGAGCACGGCGAGACCCAAACAACGCGTACACAAGGGACACCCGCGTTCCGGGGCGCTTCTCACCGCTCCCAGCCACCGATTAGCTAATTGCACAGTCGACGGCCATCGGGGTCTCGGTCCGAACCGCGACCTCGACGGCCCTTAGATGAAACACCATAGTTAAACGCACGCATGAGCACATGCGCGGCCCTCCCTTAGCGGAGGGTCCAAACCCGTGGGTTCTGGCTAGCCCACCGGTTCTGCGTCCGATGAAGCTTTAATAGTCTCGGGACTGAAAGCGAAAACATCAGTTAATACAAGATACAAGAATGTGAAAGAGTCGACATACGATTTTTTATAAATTTAAAGATTTTACAAGATAAATCCGGGTATAATTTCAATGAAGGTGAATACAAACACAATGTCTCATGGAACAATATCAGAATTTTGTAAAGCGTTCAAAATTTCATTCATATTTTTCTACAAAATTTCATAAACTCAAAAAAAAATTAATATAGTTAATATAAGAAACAAACGGGAGAAAATGGAAAGAATAGAGGACATAATGATAACCAATGTGTATTCACAAACACTAGAATTAAGTGACCATAAGAAAACTGATTTAGATGAACTCTTAAATAAAAAACTTAATTCCTAGTTATTACGTAGATTTTTATAATTTGATTCTTTAATTACTTACGTACATAATATTTTTTTTAAAGTTTCTTTTTAATAGATACATTGTTAAGTTTTGTATGACCAATTTAAATATTATTCACAGATAATAATTAGAACTTGATAAGACTGTTATGATTAAGATTGTTATGAAGAATATGAGCAATACTTTAATGCTTAAGTACAGCTAAGAGCATGATTTTATTGTAAGCAATTATTGAGACTAGAAGCTACCCTTATATCCTTTACAACCTGTGATGTAGAATTAATTAAAGATTACTTAGTAGGAATAATTATTTAGTAAGTTTACTTTCTAATAAACCTTATTTACTATCTTTTATGGTTTACGTATTAAATAAAAAACCTGAAATTAATCTCAAATTTATTAATACAGGGACTTACTAAGGAAAAACTCAACATTTTCACCGTATATTCAGAAACAGAGAGACCTATATAACAAAGAGTCTTTTAAAAAATCTGAGGCTTTAATATTATATAGACCTAATTTCGACTACTTTTTTTAAATAATTAAAAAAATACTTCGTTGACATTTTTTACTTTATTTTTTTATCAGGCATGTAGACAAATAAGTTAACAATCAAATAAAATTATATTTTTATGATTTTTATGAAATTTCATTCTCATAACCTTATTTTTTTACAAAAAGCATAAATGCACAAATCTTTATTTAACGTTTCCCAAAAATTGATATTTTTGAAATAGGTCACTATAATTCTAAAGGTGCGTCTTTGTTTTTGTAGAATGCTTTTACCCAATGATGTTTAATGATATAGATGACGCGATACAGCGCGCCGTTTAACATTGTTCTGCTTTTCTTCTTCTAAGACAGTTGGCGGTCGATATGACATCCCCAAAGACACAATGATGATAAAGAAACAAATCGTTTATTTTTGCGCCGCTTTTAATTGTTGCGCTCTAGATTTTATGAAAAATATGTGACAAATGACATAGAACGTATGGTACGGAAAGTGTCATTAGATTGCAATTCTACAGACTTTTATGTGAGAAAGTGGCAAACGAGCAGGCGGTTCACCTGATGTTAAGTGATAACCGCTGCTCATGGACATTTGCAACACCTGTAGGGTTGCAAATGCGCTGCCACCTATAAATAAAGTGGGCCCCGGCTACCACACTCACCAGACGAAACGCAGATGTGTAACATTTCTACTTGACGCCCGGTCTTTTGTGAGGTCGTGGTACTTACCCGGACGGGCCTTCCCGTTCGTGCAATAGTGAACACTGTTGGGTAGTCCTACCACAGGTCCTACTACGCACAAAGAATGCTGTCTCTTTCTATATCATACGTTCTATGTAGTCCACGTACATACTTACTATGTAGTACATGTACATACTTCTCTAATTAGGAGATGGCCCTAAACTTTATTTACTATATTCTTGCAAAAAGAATGAATAGGCTCTCTTCTAGAAATGGTCTGTCACTCTTTAGTTCATAAATGAAGTTCTTAATTAGTGTATACTAAAGTTAAGAAGTGCGACTTTGGTATTTTTATATTCCCCTTTTTTCTTAAATTTTGCTTCGTAAAATGCAGCGAATGATATTTTTACACTTTTCTTAGAACCGACAAGAGCTTAAAGAAAATGCAAAATATGTTAAGACTCATCAGTGCTTATAAAAATCGTTGTTAAGAAACAACGACACTTTAATAACTTTATATTAAGTAAAGATATTACAATTTAATAATTAATGAAAAACTTTGTAGTATAGATATAGTATTTTCCGTGATGCGCGCATAACGCCACACTTATTTCATTTATATAGAATATTTTTATGATAGAATGTGTCAAACGAAGCGAATGGGTGGTTCACCTGATGTTGACAGATTTATTTATTGTAAAAAAAATGATAACTTTGTAATATTCTTTAAAAGTAAAAGAATTCCCACCCATGGGTATTTACAACACCCGGGTGAATTTGCAGATGCCTTTAGCTGAGTGAGCCCCGACTACCTCACTCACGAATATTCTACTTAACTCTACGACAGTAAAGTTCTATGTTTACCAAATACAAAACGGAGTTAGTTGGATGCTTGTGTTTGTGAGCTTTTATTTACCTTTCTTTTATTTATTTTATTGTATGCGCATCTCTTGGGCTCTGCGTGTATGTAGATCTCACACTGACACTTACTGGGATTACGCCCGCAACAGTTGTGCTAAGAATTTCCCTAAAACCCCGTAAAATGTGCACGGCGCACGACTTGAACAATTTAATTGGCGCGCTAAATTTGGCGTGTATCGCAATTCGCATTTCGAAGTCGCCGCTCCACACTCGACCGTGCGCTTTTTCGGCGGCAACACCTGTTTAACCGCTAACTGACAATGTTGAACGCGCTCGATTTTCTGCTGTTGAGTTTGACGCTGCCCATAGTCCTGATGGCCAGTGTTATCGGCAATTACGAGAGGCACGTGCCCGTGTGGCTGATCAAATTGTATCGGTACGGCAGCTTCGGGTACAAGGGGCCCGGCGGGAGGTTTATGCAAAGCATCGAGCTGCCGAAGTCCTACTACAGGCACTACTACGTGTTCTCGTCGGTACTCAGCGGTTTAGCCTTGGTTTACATGTCGCTGGTGTACTTCGTCGGCGTCGAAGTAAACTTGCAGTTTAAGGCTGCGCTGCAGACGCTTCTCGACCAGAGGCAGCCCGCAGGTATGTAACAGATGAATAATTCATGACATATACACGGCTAAGGTGTTCGAGTGCCTTTGTATTATCCTTTAAAACTTGACATTACGCAGTTTCGTCCCAATAATCCTTCGTCGTGAAATTTTGAAGTACATACATAGGTATTGGATACATACACAAATATTTAGTAAAATAAGAAGTAAAAAATAGTATTATTTACGATTACGCTGTTATCAGTAAAAGTGATCTTTTGATTGAAACTTCAAAAGTGCCTATCAATGTTTTAAAATTTTTAATGATAGTATAAGTTATCCGTTTGTGGAATTCTTTGCCCCTTCACATTCGGCAACCTAAGTCTCTTTTTTTTTTTTTATTGTTGTAACAAAATCCACAGCACTTTTTTAAAAATATATAAATCTTATTACTAAAACTTAAAACCAATTTGGATTTACATTATTCTGCAAAATTACGACAGTAGAAAACATGAAAACTTTTGATACTTGGGCATTATTATGGATGACTTGTAGGTGTGTGCGTGTGCGCGTGCGCGTGCGCGTGCGTGTGCGTGCGTGCGTGCGTGCGTGCGTGCGTGCGTGCGTGCGTGCGTGTGTGTGTGTGTGTGTGTGTGTGTGTGTGTGTGTGTGTGTGTGTGTGTGTGTGTGTGTGTGTGTGTGTGTGGTGAAGATGCCATTTCCTCCTCCAATACTTTTAAAACCCCACTTTTGAATTTATCTTTATTTGTGTTGAATATATCTAGGTTGTAAAATTTATTATTGAAGACACTGCAAGCGATTCACTAATGAGTTTTGTGCATAGCTAGTCGATGACTTGACTACAGCAAATAAGCGTGTATGTCTGGTTCTAACTTTTGGAGTAAACAATCGGAGAACTTTTGTAGCTTCTTTCTTTTAAAAACCTAGTAAAAGCTCATTACTTGGAACTGTGAAGTCATGCTTTCCTTTTTCCTTTTCCTATTTTTATCTCATTGACTCTCGCCTTCATCCGGTGTTTATAAAAGCAAAAATTCTTTTCGCAATGGCTGTCTGTGTATATATATATATATATATATAGATATATATATATATATATATATATATATATATATATATATATATATATATATATATATATATTATATATATATATATATATATAATAAAAATTGTGATTATCAGAATATCCCAATTTACGGAATTAGCCGAATGTACCTTATATATATATATTCTGATAATCACAATTTTTATTATGAAATACGGCAATAATTTTGCTCTGGCAACGTTCATCTAGCCGCCAGCTATGGAATGTACCTTATACAGCGTGTCGTTACCACCGCGACAATAAATGAACACACAAATAGAGGATAAGTTTTTAAAATTGTATTAAACATTTACATTCTTTAAACATCAATATTTACCGAGTTATTAAATTTTCCAAAACAAACAATTTTAGAACACCCTTACGTATAAAAGTGTAACGTAAAGTTCATTTGTAAAGGTCACAAAGCATATGAATGGGTTGAATGAATTTAAAAGAGACAAAACATACTATTAGAAGGAGAGGCTTGTAATGCGACGCTGTGACGCGAGTTGTATAGGATGTTACAAATCTTGTTTCTTTTTTACTTAATTAGTTTGTTTGAAAAATATTTTTTTTTAATTATGGATTTTGTTTAACGTTAATATTTTTTTATGATTATAGGAAATGTGTGTTCATTTATTGTCGCGATGGTAACGACACGATGTATACGACGGTTGGTTTATACCACATTATCAATTTAACAATGCAATCATTTTATTTCAACACCATGCTATTTTCGGGATTCATTCGCGGAATCATTTTCAACACGACCAAATATAATGTTACAACTTAGAACAAAGAAAGACAAAAAGCGTTTTTTATTAGGTACTGTTCGTAAAATCCGTCTACGTAAGACCATTTTAATAACGGTGTTGCGTTTCTGAACACACTCAACGGTGCACATCCGAACGCGAGTTCGGAATGCCAGACAGGGTAGGATTTTGTACTATAATTATAGTATTTGTACTTTGATTTCATGCCCCATTCTATATACCATCCATATCTAAAGATAGTACCGAAAAACTATAATTTCGTATATTTACACAAATGACAAATGCCAATGCAACATTGAAAAAGGTTCATTGGGTTGTACTAACGTTGTAGTTTCAACACGTATTCTATTTTCATATTATCACGTGTCAATGTTATTGTCAATTATTACTACGGATTATAATATTTATCTATGAACTATTTACTGACTGTTAAATATACTTTTTCTTTGAAAACTTCGCTTGTTGAAATGTAACTTTGTTTGTTGCACAATGAGGTAGGTAATAAGAGTTCACAGATGTCTAATAGTACGACAAATGTTTTATTGCCTAAACCAAGATAGGTAATAAATAATTATTAAATTATAAAATTAAAATTTTCGAGTCGGGAAGTCGATGGATGTAGGTGGCTCAGGATCGTGCTTCATGGCAGTCTGTGGGGGAGGCCTATGTTCAGCAGTGGACTCAAACAGGCTGAAATGATGATGATGAACATTAAAATTTGTAGAAAAAGTACGAAAAGATTGTCGCCGCTGTGGGAATTCAACCCAGACGCAGCCTGACGCTTTAGTCACTAAGCTAAACGGCTGATTTTCACACCGACAAAAATCTTAACGATTTTTATCGACATTGATTTTAGCATTTGAAGCAATCTTTGGCGCATCCATTGTTATATTCTTTCCAGCATACAAACAATTTCGAGTATCGTTTTACAACGATAATTAGAATGAGAAAGAACAATTATAATCCATAGACGACATTTTATGTGACCATAAAATGGCGATTGAAAGATGGTTACAAAAGTGGGAATTGTACTGATTTTATTCCTGCCGAGGATATGTTAATAAGATTAATTTCTTAGGATGAAACTAATATTGAGGAATTGATAAACTTGGAAAAAGAGTACATTTATGCCTGTTAAAACCAAAATTATATAGTGTACAATAATTATTTTAAAAATTTTTTGTATTATCTTTTTCATCATAACACCTAAATCCAACCCTGATGCCAAATTCGCGGCAGTTCGTTAACTGTTTCGATGGAAAAATAAGATTCGACACATACATGAGTTCTATTCTAATTTGTAGACTATCTTGATATGAGAGAGATTACATAATGTTATAATGTTGTAAAAGAGTGTTAAATAGGTGTATTACAAATGTGTAAATCATATGTCACCACCAATGGCTCATATACAGCTTGATTCTGACTTTATTGAGAGGTTACCCACGCAAGCACTTACAGACCCAGAGGGGACAATACCTACATATCCCTCAACATTATTTAAACCTACATTACATTTTACACCTACGTCTAGATGGATATTGATACAAACACCTAAAAATCATTTCCAATCTGATGTGAAACCTTTTTTAGACGGTTTAGTTTTACAGCTTGGTAGAGTAAAAATCTAAATTCTATACACCCGTGAGCCTCACGAGCGCGCGCCGCGCCCATGATGGCATATCTCTTACAATACCAATTGCCGTATGTTCAATAATATATGCAAAGGCGGATTATCCTTAAGGCAAATTAGGCATGTGGCGCGAGGATACAAAGGGGCGCGCGGGCGGCATTGTAAAATAAAGAAAAAATATATAATAGAAGTAGCATAAAATTTATTGTGCCCGTAATTAAGCCTTTATTAATTAATAACTACTATTTAAAAACTATTATTTTTGCTTGAACCTCAATTTGCTTCAATTTATGAACTAATTTATAAATTTTAAACTTAAATGGGACTGACTACAATCAATGTTGTCGATGGTACATGATCTCTAATTGAAGTAGGAAAGATACAACTACAACGCACGTCGCGTCGATCGCGAATTGTGAGTATCGGAATTGGACGTCCCTGCTTCTAAAATTGCGACGACGAGCGTGCGGTGCGGGGGCGGGAGCTAGGCGAACAAATGAGTGGAGAGTGACACGACTTTCAACTTTTTTGTCTTGGTTACGCGCGCTTTTATTTTTTGAATTTTGCATAACTGATACGCAGAACGCAGGCCCTCCTCAGTGGGTAGAGCGGCACATGTACACGTGCGCTACTTATGGCATTTTGCCTACGGGCCATCGAGGTTCGGTGCGGACCGTGACCCCGATGGCCGTTGACTGTGCTTGGTTAGTAGGTGGCTGGGAAGTGTGAAAACCACCCTGCAAAAGTAATGTACCGAGTGTACGCCTTGTGTTGGTTTCGCCGTGCTCGAGGCGAGGACAAACTATGGTGTTTGTAGATGCACTAACTGCGTGTGTATTGTTATTGGACTGGACCCGCATGGTGGGTCTTACGTACTTAAGTCCCCTTCTTTGACCGGGTCGATGAGGACGTTGAGCGGGCGACGCTTATTGACGTTAGTGTCGGGTTGGTAATTTGCTTCGCTTATCACCAAAAGAGTTGGGATGATGTTCGACTCTGTCGAAGAAACGTTTTGTGAGATCTTCAAAATGTTCGCGAATCGTCGGGAGTCTGCAGTCACCGTGCTGGTCACGTCGACGTTGCGTTGATACCACTGCGTACTATTTGCAACTTGTACATGTGTGTGGGGTTTATGTGGGCGTAGATCATGCACGCGTAGGACATAATAGGTCTTACGCAGGCGTAATATAATAATAATTTGTGCCTTAAGGGCATTTTACTTGACGCATTGGTTAGGTGATAGAGCCTGCCGGAGACGAACGCGGCTCTGTTTCTAATTTCGTTAATATACTATGTGAACGTCATGCGTGAGTCGAAAGTGGCTCCTAGATATTTTCCACTCAGGATAGTGGTTGTCCGTAAAGAGATAATTGCTATGGGTAAGTAATTCGTGTGACATGATTCGCCACATTATTGTCGGGATTTACTTCTATTCTCCATTTGCGGAACCCCGAGGCGATCGGCGACGCTTTGGAGACGAGTAGTGAGCTGATTAAGATTTTTATCTATGTAAAGAGCGCCATCCACGAAAAGCGCGAATTTGACATGCGGGTTTTTTATGTCGCTCGTGTAGAGCGTAAAAAGCAAAGGGGAAAGGTAGGAGCTTTGAGGAACGCCCGCCGTGAAAGAGCGGTTTGTTGAAAGGGTGCCCTTTGCTCGGTATCGAAAGAAGCGATTCAACAGGAAGGCCCGGATGGTGTGCACGAGTCTGTCTGGCACGTTGAGTGCAAACAGCTTGTAAAGCAAGCCGTTGTGCCAGACCTTGTCGAATGCTTTTGTGACATCGAAGAATAGTGCTCCCGTGTTTTAGTGTTTGGGGTGATTGAGGCCTTTCAGAATATGTGCCGTTAGGCGGTATAATCGGTGGGAACAAGAGTGTCCAGCATCCCAAGTGGTTTGGCGTTGTTCCGATACGCGATCTTTGACTTGTAGCTGAAGGCGTCGAAGTCGAGTTTGATTCGATTCTGGCGCTGTTATTGTTTACGTTCTCGCTGCGGTGTTATGTGTATTTAATTAGTCCATTAAGTTTTTGTTTATTACTTAAAGAATGAGTAAATTAAGAAAAAACCTAGTGGTGCAGTATATAAAAGGAAGGCTACGGAGAAAAACATTATAATATAATAAATCAAACGAAAAATATTGAGACGTTTTTTTTTTCAACATTAAAAAGTAATGATTCTGAATCTTCTAAGTCAATCCAAAGTGCGTCTACTGTCGACCCTATGCAAAACGAAATTCCTACTAGTTATAAACAACCACAAAATTTTCCGAGCCTAAGCCACCTACTCCGTAAGTAGTGGAAGTTGTGAAGCGGTCGCAAAATAAACTGTTTATTAGATTGTGACCCAGTCAATTGGAATATCAATAACGAAACACAATAATATAATTATTGCACTGAATGGTTTAATCAAAATATTATGGTATTTTGTTTCTATTAGCATCGGGTAGTTTTTGACCTAAAAAAATTTAAATCGGTAGAGAAAAAGAATTCTCCGGTTCCTTATACTTTTCGATAAAATATTTAAAACTTGTTATTTACACTAAATACTTCGACTGGCGCGTAAAGCCAGAAATTATTATACAGGGAATTTCATGATTTTGGGGTTTACATGACAGTCGTACCTTACAGCTTTAATGTAGGGGCGCCGATCAGATGCTTGCCTACAGCATTCTTAACGTTTAATCCGCTTCTGCATATTTATGTTTATCAAACTGTATTTTGATTAACCGAAACACCGCCGAGTGTAGAGCCTTCCACGATGGAATGCAATGGCACGCAGTTGAAGTAAAAAAAAACTTTTTAATTAATAAATCAAACAATCATAAATAAACAATAGTTGCAACGCGCGCCGGACCCAAGAAATTAAATACATTAAACAAACACGCCTGCTTGACAAATTTTAATGTTTTAATGTTTCCTAACTTTGTCAGAACAAGAAGAACGGTCATTTGAACTTGAATAAAATGAATTATTGATGAGGCTAAATCCGGATAAATGGTTCCTGTTTTGCCTTACAGTTACAGTAACATCAGCTCTGGTGGGGATGGGCCTTATACACTTGCACTGCGTCCGCCGTTGCTACGAATCTCATCTGCTGCAGGTGTTTTCTAGCAGTGGAAGAATCAACCTATGCCATCACGGCGTGGCGTTCATACACTACGCCACACTGGTGCTCGCCGCCATTGGGGAGACTCCGTTGTTTTGCGGTGAGACATTTGATTGATTTCTAAGGATGAAACTGAGGGGAGGATGCAATATATACATATATATATATTGCATCATCATATATTGGAAGGAATCGTTACTCTTCCTACAATAGCTTGAGCTGATGGTAAAAATAAGTGGACTGTATTTAAATTACTGGTCTTAATTCGTTGGAACTTTATCGGAAAGTAGAAGGAAATTGGAAAGTAAGATCGTGCGTGTTCGCCGTTCCGCAGTCCAGAGAGGTGTGATCTTGAGGCGATGCCGATGACTGTCGTGGCGCGCGGTGAGTAGGCACTAGTGTTGTAGACATATATATATATATATTACATCCCCCCCGCTCCCCCAGCAAGACATTATTGGTTAGTTGAGTTGTGATATGGTGTATCTAATACAGTTTCCAGTCCATGGGCTTTCTAGAGGCTTGATGCTGTGGTTTTCTATGGTAAATTGATATATTTATACTGTAAATATGTATACATAATTTTAATGTAAACTGCGTTTCACCGTATTTAAAATATAATAACTACAATAAAGTTTAGTTGATTTTTGATATTAGCGAACTTGTCGCTGTCATTACATTAGAGTAACTTTATACTTGAGACTTGACATTGATCACATATTATTCGAAAACACTGCAGGCGATCAAAGTAGAGGCGAAATCCAGTGGTGGGGCGGACACACTAAAGCAGTGTTGCCATGCGTCGTTCTATTCCTCCTGGCGTCGTACGAGCAGTACGCGAGCAACGTCATTCTGGCGAATCTAAGGAAGGACAAGAAGTCGGGTGCTGTGTTCACAGAGGAGCATAAGATACCGCACGGCAGAATGTTCGAGATGGTGTCCAGTCCGCACAGGCTCTGCGAAATTATTTTGTACGCGGCGTTCGCAGCCCTCATCCCGACTAGGACTATGTTCATCATGTGGGTCTGGGTCTTCTCCAACCAGGTATGTCCGTTTGCACCGTGGCAAGTCCCACCGATGGCGACCCGGTGTTTCTTTCATGATAAACTTTATAATCTGCAAATCTACGGGTGTTGCAAATTTCAATGGGCGGCGATTATCATTTAACATCAGGTGTACCGTCAGCTCGATTGCCATCTCACACAAAAAAACTGATGCGCGAGAAGACGGTTCGCCGATGTAAATGATTACCGCCGCTCATGTCTACAAAAAAGCGGATCTGTTGCCAACCTTTAATTTGTTGGCCTTGGCTACCTTGTTCATCAGACGGAATAATGCTTCTACTGCAGGCTGGTCTGTGAGGCCGGTCTTTTAATACCCGGACGAATAAAATTTAAATTTCAATGGCGACGTCTCTCGTTCGAATTGTCGTTGTAAAACGATATTCAAAATTTTATATGATTGCATGCTGAAGGGATGTAACAATTGATGCGCGAAGTATTGGTTGAAATGCAAAAAAACAATGTAGATATAAGACGTTCGGATTTCCATGTGGAATACAGCCATAAGTCGTAGGTTCAATGCCCGCAGCGGTGAAAAACTTTTCGTCATTTTTTTCTACAATTTTTAATGATTCATCTTAAGAGTTGCTTCATTAGCACTATAAAAACTAAAATTTATAGGTATTAGTAGTAATAATGTACGTGTTTAGTCCGTTATTACGTACGTTGCCTAAACATTTCGCTATGCTTAAGGTTGCAATCAAAACCGTGTGTGCGGATACAAATTAGGTAAAAAATAACATTCCGGTTTCGGCACCATAAAATACATTTTTATAATTCCTTAAATGATAGTTTAATAGATAAACAAAAGAAAACATGCGTGTACATGATATACAGCGTGTCGTTACAGCCGCGACAATAAATGAACACACATATAGAGGATAACTTTTTAAAATTATATTAAACATTTACATTCTTTAAACATCAATATTTACAGAGTTATTAAACTTTCCAAAACAAACAATTTTAGAACATCCTTACGTATAAAACTGTTACGTAAAGTTCATTTGTAAAGGTCACAAAGCATATGAATGGGTTGAATGAATTAAAAAGATATATAAAATACTGTTAGAAGGAGAGATTTGTAATGCGACGCTGTGGCAACGAATGAAAACGTCTCTGAATGTATGAGTCAGTCAGTTGTAGTTAGTATAGATGTTTCAAATTTTGTTTCTTTTTTATTGAAAAAGTTTGTTTGGCTGTATGCCAGACAAAATATCATATGTAAAAATCAAGGCTCAGACTGTAAGTAAACTTAGGTTATTTTTTCGCAAACTTTAAAGCGTCTGGCGGAAATTACCGCCGACGAAGAATGTCTTGGAATATTGATTTTTAAATTTCTAATATAATTTTGTAAAATATATATAAGAATCAGAACTTCGAATTTAAGAAATGTGAGTGATGTTTTTAAGTACCTTTAGCACCTTGTACCTGTGAATTGGCCGCCGGCCCAAGCTAGCAGAAATGAATACCTTCAGAGTATACTCTAACACTACTCTTTACGATATACAGGATGGCTTTTCTAAAGGTGCCCAAATTCACACAGGAGTTTTAGACTCGGTAGTATAATCATTTATTGAAATAAAAACAAACTTTTTTTTTTTAAATTTCCATTCTATTCCTTAAACAACAGAACTTGTTGACAATGCGGTAGTCATTCTTAATGTGTCGTATATATTTGAAACGAACTTGTGTGCGTGTTATGAATGATCGCGCGTAAAATAAATGAGTTGCCCATAAATCAAGCACTTTTTGAGATAAGTTAAAATGAACACAATTAATTAATAACGAGTCATTTTAAATATTTATCATTTATTATGTAACATTATTTATGTCTAGAATTTAATTAAAAAAATGGATACACTTAGAAAATCCGTCCCTGTTTTTTGTTACTAAATTAAGTAACGTCTGGCGGCCCTGGACTCTTGTTCTATATGACAAAATAATGACGAAATAAAATCGCCATTTAAACTCGCAGAGGAGTGATGAAATATAATTTTTATGTTTTCCAGATTCAGAGCGCGCTCCACGCTCACGAGTGGTACAAGAAAACCTTCGACAACTATCCACAGAACAGGATGGCAATAATTCCGTATTTGCTATAATATAAAATAAAAATTAATAAAACAATCATTTCAACTTATTGAAAATACCAATAAATTTATAAAGTAAAATCACGTTTTATCATTAAAGATGTCTTGACATCTTTACATTCACCCATTATAGCAAACATTGAAACTTGCGTGCTAAATGGAATGTAGCGTTTCATGATTGTAAGGAATGATAAAAAATCAACACCACTTGGAAATTATTCAGGTTGGTAAAAAGCGCATAGTTCTCTGTCTGCGTCCATAAGGAAAGTATGGCATACCAATGATATTGTCAGAGATCACAACCATCTTTTGAAAGTATGCTTTGTTGGCGCGTTTGGGAAAAATTATGTGCGAATTTATACAATGGGCGACACAAACATGCCGTTACTAATTACTATGGCAATTGGCCATGTACTTAGAATTTCAGGTTCTGAAGTTATTTTTGTTATCAGGTGGGATGGCAGTCAACTGTTGGCCAATTTTGAAATAAAAAAAAAATATGTAAACATTTAATAAATTTTTTCGCAAACAGCCCGAAATAAAATATTTAGTTATTTTTCTTTTACGACGCAAAAGGAGAACTTACGTGCGTACATAATTAGTCAGGGCAAAAGTATTTTTAGTATCATTAAAAAAAAATATATATTTTTAATACGGCTGATGACGGCGGATTTCTCTAGTGAAAGAAAATAACAAGTTCTAAGTATTTTTCTTTTCTCGAAAACTATAAGCGACCGGAGAATTTTACTTGCTGATTATTTCATTAGTGATTTTTCTTTACCATGTAAAAATTTTTCAGGTCGAAAAAACCCGGCGCTAGTCGCAAATTTAACAAAAATTTCCTCAAAATTAAATATTAAAAAACGCGAAAGTCGTGGGCTCTGCAACTTTTCCTTTTAAGAGGGGGTAATGCCTCCTTCTCCCGCACCCCTCCCGCCCCTCAATTCGACGGACGTCAATTCAATAAGCCCAGTAATGCTATTACCTACCAAGGTTATATAAGGTTTTGCCTATACTCTCTTGATTACTTAAAGAAGAGGTACAACTTAAACCCCTGTAATAAATAACAGTATGCAAAAGTTTCAATTTATATTTATTATAACACACAATCATATAATTGCACTCACTATAAATAAGTCTCTTGAAACAAAATAACACTCTCCTAATCTTCTCATTTGAATAAGAAACTGAAACAAACAATAAACAGTAAAAGTGATTATTTTATTTTATCTTTTGATATTATTTTAAAATATGTTGTTGTTGTAAGATATACTGTTTATAATAATTGAGTAAAATAAGCAGGCAATGTAATCAGTGAAAAAAAAAACCATAATTAACTATATTGTATGATTGGTAAACCTATTTTGTTACAAAGGCCGATTGATTTTAATATAAATAACACATTGACAGTAATTCTATTTTTTTTTTAACTAAACAAATTGCACTTTTTGCCATATTCATATTTCTTAGTTTTTATGTTAGTCATATCTGTTATTTTATATAAGTTCAAATAACAAAAAGTTTAGGTAAAATTTTCAAATGAATATACTTATATGTCAATTAAAATTTTACCATAAGAATAGTTTATGTATATATCATTCTTAATTAAATATTTAAAACGATTTATCAAGCAATGACTATTGTTATATAATTATATTTCTCACCTGTACGGGTAACCTTGAGTCTTGGCTCTAAACACGGACAGTAGAGCCGAGAAGAACACACATAGCAGCACCAGCCCGACTACCGCCTGGAAGCGACGTTTCTTTCCCTCGGTGGGAGCTCGCGATGAGTCCTCCACATTCTTCACACCACCCGCGGCCTCAATCATGAAAATCATACCGAGAACCACCAATGCATCTGAACACGAGTTAAGGACAGTTCAAGGGAATACAGCACCATTTAATTACTGTGAAAACAGCAAGACATTACAGTAACACAGTACTTTTCTGTTTTTTCTTAGTAATAAAGTGAATAGGTCTAACTATTCTGTACACATATATATTTAATATGTACAATTGTTATCTAATTATACTTATTCATGTGTACACACATGTTTCTGCATATTTTAATTATTTTAAAATCACTTTTAAGAAAAGTCTGCCTGCAAGAAACTATAATTAAGCCATAAGACTGCCCTTTGTACAATCATTTTTGTAACCTTTCTGTTGTTAATGCTTCTTTAGTTATGCTGTGTACAATAGAGTGTTAAATAAATAAATTAATATTTTTCTTTCAGCGGGTGACGAAAACTAAGTGGCCACATTTCCCTAACTATAGTTGTAGTTTAAACCATTGATTTATAACACAAGCCATAGGTTATATTTGACACCTCATGTGCAACCCAATAAAGCATATCCTACGTAAAGACAATTGTTATTGCACATTATTGCCACATTATACCACATCGTTATTGCCACAATTTAAAGAGTAAATGGAATCTATTTGCAAAGGATACTCAAAGCGGCAACTAAGTAACTCTCCAGAACGAATTGGCCGTGGGAACTACCGTTGATGTAGACAGGACCATTCTTAGAGCGGTGGTAAAATGGTGGTCCCCTGATCTGGTTCCACATCTGGCCTGAGACCATTGTGAAGCAGAAGAACAGTGCGAACCCGGCCCACATTTGCTTGTTCTGGAGGAACTCGAGGTTGTTCCGTCGAAGGTACAGGAATCCGATAGAGAGGAGGACCATAGTGCAAGTGACTAACGCGCCTGAGTAGTTGGGGGGGCGGAACAGCCTGATCTGTGAAAAGTTATTGATAAAAGTAAGTCAAGGTGTCAAGTAATTCGTGAAGTATGAAACACTACAAAAAATTTATGATAGATGTTTGTTACGAGTGATGTCTGTCACCTTTGCTCTTAAAATTTTTGTGATTCATTTAAATTTATTTGGTTGTAGTCTCTGCAATCAAGATGAGATATACAACATGGTGTTACAATAAACTTAAAAAAATATAAGCAATATAAAAAAGTGAGTGTTTTAATCCTTCACTCCTTATGTATTTCTACAAAATCTTTATACTAATACACCATTGAAATTTCAATTATAACAAATAGCATTGACTTTGTTTTTGTTTTTATTTTTAAATTTCTCCTGCAGTAGGTAATACTTCCTGTGTCTTTAGAGGTTTCACAAATATGAACATCAAGGACATCACATATATTTGCAAGGCAACTGGCATGGTGGCTTTATGATTTAGGTGGTCACCTAAATCATAAAGCTATAATATAAATTGTTATATAACGGTGGTGATGATTGTTGTAATTTGAGGTAATTGAGATTTTGATGGAAGCAAGTTCGAAACCTGTGGATTCCAGCAGATTTCAAATGTGAATTGTTGAATATAAAAAGAACAAAAACTTTCAGTGCTGAGGGATTCAAACATGCTTTGTCCAGGAAACATTAATATTAAAGTTCCATCTTGAGTGGGGATACAATCACTAAAAATAAAATTAGTCATAAACTTGTGCAGAGTATTACAATCATCATCATCATCATCAGCCGCATGTTGAATATAGGCCTCCCTCTTAGAATGTCACAATGAACGACACTTTGCCATTTGCAGCCATAGAGTATTACAAAACATATACATTATATCAAACAATGGGCTTTCGGCATCATTTTTCAGATACGAAGTAAAGAATGAAGTGGATAATAAGTAAAATCTATATAAGTCACCCTGCCTTCTCTGTACAGACAGTATTAAGGCATAGTCCACCACAGGACCCCAATATGGATTGGCAGAATATTTTTTCTACATCTCCATAATTTTTTAGTTATTATTTTGTAATCATGCCAGTTTCCTCATAATGTTTTCTGTCACCACTAAGGATGTAAGTCGGGCCTTAAAATTCAAATTAAAAATTTCATTAAGTATAATACAAATTTAATAACCTGCACATCTGTCCTATCTTGAATCCACTTAGCAATGGCCTCTGCATGAATACCAGCCCTCTCAAAGTCCATAGAGTCTGCGGGTTTCGGCTTGCCCTTTGCTGGAAAATGCATTATGACTGGGGCAGTATTCAGTCGAAGCTATAAAAGAAATAAATAGTCTATTTTAGTTCAACATTCTTATGAGTTATTTTAAGAGCTAAGTTATAGATATTTTAATTCTACAAAATGTAATACTTTTAAATGAAATAGAAAAGTTAAAAAAGCGTAGCTTTTCATCAATCTACCATCACTAATATCTCTTAATATTTATAAAGTTTTGCTTGCATTGCATTAACAATATTTTTTTCTAAAAAACAATTACAAATTGTATCAACTTTTACATTTTACATATCCTTAATTTTAAGGATCAAAAGTTCAAAAAAATATCAAAAGATCGGAATCAAAAGTTTTAAACCATAAATTCTCACCATTTGAAAAACATCTGATCCCTCATCAAAATCAACCATTCCAAAGAAAAGTTTAGTATTTTGTGTTTGTGCAAAACGGAATGAGCTAGCAACTATATTGTATTCATCATATACATGTTGGCAAATAACACAACGACGTGATGGAGACATGGCTGTGAACATTATTATGAAAGCGTAATCCTTTACAGGTGATTTTACGTATTCTTTGAATTTGTTATAATTCAATGATATTATTGGTCTTTTAGCAGTCATTTCGGTCAAATATTGAACTTTCTCTTCTAGCTGAAAAAACAAAACATATTATGAATAGATCGCCGGTTGTTGTAGTGATGAATTAGAGTACCTAACACACACATACCCCTTTCGAACGACTTTGGGCGTCAATTTGATAATATGTTAAAAGTATAGTAAATATCAATAAAAATTTACACTTCATTTTGTTATTAATATTAGATGGAATGAGAATATATCAAAGAAATAACCCAAGTGCCAATATTTAGGTACAGGTATGTAGCCAGCTAATCATATATTAGATTTTTGACAATGACAACTAACAATTTGGTGGACGTCAGACGTTTCGTAAAGATACGGTCATAATTAAGAAAACAGTATATTTGAGCTACGGTCAGGGTTGAATTTAGGTGCGGTTAAAAAGGATAATTGACAAAAAATTATGGTACACTATTATTTTCATAATTAATGCACAAAAAATATATTATTTTTACTCAAAAATTGGCAGAAAATTCTTATCAGTTTGAATTTTAAATTTGTATGGAACAGCCGTACAATAAAAATAATAAATTAATCGTACTATTAGAAAATTATGAACTCTATTAAATACCTCATTGAGTGCAATGTGCAGTGACTGTTTGAAAAGCGGAGTATCGAAAAAAAGTAACATTCTCGGTAAGTCTCCGTTAATTGTTCATCGAAGATAACTATTAATAATCTATGGTAATAATAGAAAATGATATAGGCAAGTGGTAAAACAGCTTTATATTATTCGATAGAATTACAACGTTATTACAATACAACCCAAAGAACTTCTTCAGTAATTCTTGGGTCATTTAGGTAAAGTAATGAAATTATAGCAAGTTTTCGTACTATCCTTAGATATGGATATAGTACCAAGCATGAAATTATAGTACAAATACTATAATTATTATAGTCCTACCTTGGCTACGGTTATATGAATTTATACAACTAAACGACAGTAGATGTGGTTAATTAAAATCCTAAATAACTCCATACCCGACCGTGACGCTGTCCATAATAAACTAATTAAAACATTCTCGTCTCTTCTAGTGACTATTTTTAACGTACTTCTCAAGAGTTATTTTTTCCCGTAAAGTGTAATGAGGTGAATTTCTGGGCATTCCTATAACCCGTATAAGCTCAGAAACTAAACATTATAGCCCATTTGATCTCCTGTCCACCATGAGGAAAATTTAAAAAATCATCATTCTTGCAAGTAATAAAAAAACACGTATAATCATAAGATATTATTACAGTCTTTTAAATATAGGTTGATACGCAGTATTTTGACATACAAATATGGATCTCGTATATGAAGTTCCGTATTTTTTAAACAAAAAATTTACCTAATACAATGTGGTACTTACTTTATTTCGTAATATCACTTTAGTTTATTAATTTCAATATCCCGTGTAACATCGTATATTTTACAAACTGTGGAGACGAGCATTACGATTTAGTGCCGAACGCTCAAGCGTCTTTTTAAGTGCACCAGAGAGAATGTAATTACGTTTACAAAGCGCACCGCCTAACGGACAGGGTAGGATTTTGTATTATAATTTCATGCTTCGTACTATACAGGGAGACTTTTTAAGTGTATTAATTTTTTTTAATTAAATTCTAGACATAAATAATGTTATACATTCATTTTTACTTACCTCAAAAAGTGCGTGATTTATGGGCAACTCATTTATTTTACGCGCGATCATTCATAACTAACACGCACACAAGTTCGTTTCAAAAGTATACGCCGCATTTATGAATGACTACCGTATTGTCAACAAGTTCTGTTTTCTAAAGATTGGAATGGCAATTAAAAAAAAAGTGTTTTTATTTCAATAAACGATTATACTAACGAGTCAGAACCTCGTGTGTGAATTTGGGCACCTTTATAAAAGCCACCCTGTATACTAATCATAAATGATAATACGGAAATGTACTATATTTTTATTTTAGGAATTAAATTTTATTCACAAGTTAGAAAAAAATCTACACTGGACTAGGTACTTTATTTTAAACAAAAAGAAAAAGTGTGCATCTCGGGAAGCCCGACTGATGTGATAACTTAAACTAACTTAAAAAACTATTTTATATTGAAATAGTTTAACTTGAGAAACGCTTAGGTTATAATTTAAATTTTATGTATATTAGTATGATAATGTGAGGAAAGGTTATTTATTAATAAAAACTTTTATCGAAGAACAAAAAAATATAGATATAACATATATACATAAATATAATATATGATATTCTCTTTGATCGTTACTCGAAAGCCTTATGGCATGATATAATGCGGAATGCCATTAAATAAAACTCACAAATGTGCTCACTATTAATTGTATTTACATCAGAAGAACTTTAGATATGTTCACAATATTTTCACCCTTAAAATAATGTTATTGTTAACAAAGCAAATAGACCGTTGTGTTCTCAGCGGCGAGTCTCGAGGCAGAGGTAACTCCCCGGTCGCCGACCAATCAGAGGCGACTCGTTTGCAAACCGCGAGTCGTGCGCTTTTGCGTGCTAAATTTAAAATAGACGCGGCGGTTGTTTTCATCCGCCACAGCCTCACAGAACAGTCGCATGGTACTTCTGTTCGACGCTGCGGAGACATTCGACAAAGTCTGACATAGCAACCTAATTAAAAAGCTATACTGGTCAATAAAGTGAAGTACTTAGTGTTTCACATGACCTAGCAAAATGATACCGAAACGCAAACTTCTTTCTTTCTCTTCTTCTCCTTTATCTTTACTTCGTTTGTTTGTTACCTCAGAACCTTCGACTGGGTGAAACGATTTTGATGATTTTTTTTTTATTTGAAAGCTGGTGTTTCCCGTGTGGTTCAATTTGATACAGTTTTGACAATGGCATCTCCATCATCACCTTTGCGTACACCAACACCAAAGCAAAATTATATCCGATTGTCGGCATTCCTCAAAGTCCATCAATATTCCATACACGAAAGACATCTCAACAAACTCTAAATCTTACACAAAGTTCGAGTTCAAAATTAGTAGGTTCATCACGTAAATCCGAACTGTCATTATGATATCTACAGCTGCATCGCCTCTTGTTGGTACAAAACCACCAAATCTTTCATGCAAACAAGTACCTGAAGATATACAGACTCAAGATTGATAGACATACCTACTGAAAAATTACATAATTTAAAATACAAAGAAGTAGTTGTAAGACACGACTGTTCATTTATAAGCTCTGCCAGTGGCTTAAAATCGCTGGCTGTCAGAGTTTGTTCTTCTTTGTGAGTCAGAAATACTATTACCGATACGCATCAAAGTATCTTGCTTGCTTATATTCGGCGTTACTTGCTTTTTTAAGCAAGTACTTACTGAAAGGTTTTGTCTCAGCTAATTTCGATATTCAATATCTTTTATCAGTGTGGTATCACGTATCACAGGTGCAACTACATTTCCTCTGACGTATTTTTAATAATCTCTTTTCCCACATCCTTTTTAATTTTTATATGATAAAAAAACATTGCAGAATTGCCATTTTATTTTTGAAATAGCGTGTAAATGCATAATCACAAGAACACTGACACTATTGAGAAACGAAACCGCACGTACTGGTGATGGACTACATCCTGCATGACGGACCAAACGGGAGCCGGTACACTCGCTTTTGGCAGTAACGTAAGCGCGTAAAGGTGAGTATAGACTACAACATTTACTTGTAACAGAACAACGAGCCGCTCTATGATATGTTCTAGTGTATCATCCTTTCACGAACTAAACGTCGAGCACGCTCGCCTCTTTGTTACAAACTATATTGCAAATTGGTGTAACATTTCGTCGAGCCACGAGTGCGGGCGATGCGCGGATTTCTATTTTTCTTTTTCTTCTAATATAATTCATCAAGATGCAACACACGCAACTTGTAGGTCCGAAATTTCAAAAAAGAATGAACGCAAGTACAACGAAATGTTGGTAAATGCACACTCGCTGTGAGCATTTACCGTACGCCGAGCATTCGCAGGAACGTTACATTACATGGAAATGCTTTGGAAACTGAGCTTTTGCGTGTATTGTACCATTCGTAAGAACGTTACATTACACAGAAATGCTCCAGAAAATGTTGTAGTCTATACTAACCTTTATGATTAGCGCCTAATTCGTCCCTTCTGGACATGGTGTGGATGAAAAGATCAGTGTCAATACTATTTACGTCATATAAGCGCCAATGTATACTTAGTATAAAATTTGGACTGAGACGCGATAGTCGGTGTAGTCATTTTTTTAAATTCAATATTCTCGATCATCCAGATTGGTCATCTCAATTCATGATAAAGTAACAATAAGTGGTTTCCGTAAGTAATAAGCCCGCAAAACTGCCAAATAGATACCTGCTGTAAAATTTTTCGATACATCGGACTAAAAAAAATGGTGCATCTTTTTAAAATAAAAAATATATGTTTCACCGGGTGCCAGTTTTCCAGAAAATGACTTGACATTGAATGTATTATTGTACTATAAATAATGTTACCTTTTGTCCCCACACATTTAAATTTAATCACGTAGATACTTATGATATTATAAGTTTTGAATTCTATTAATCTTAAGAATACAGGGTATTTATGGGGCATGTCCATAAAATTAATGACCACATTAATGCCATATATTGCACCACATTTAGCTAATATTTTTAACAACTGCATAGAATCTGGAATATTTCCAGATCTTATGAAATTTAGTAAGATAATCCCCGTCTTCAAAAGTGGGGATAAAAATGATCCAGGAAACTACAGACCTATCTCCATATTGCCATCTCTGAGTAAAATTTTTGAAAAACTAATTTTAAATCAGCTCTTAGTACATTTAAATATGAACAAAATTTTTCACAATGAGCAATATGGATTCACTAAAGGCAGATCGACAACAGATGCGGGTATCGCACTTGTCAAACATATTTATAAGGCCTGGGAAGGGTCGCAAGATGCAATAGGTGTTTTTTGCGACCTTTCAAAAGCTTTCGACTGCGTGGATCATAAAACCCTCCTTCTAAAGCTTGATTATTATGGCATTCGTGACATCGCCCTCAATCTCATTGCTTCTTACCTTAATAATAGAATTCAAAAAGTATCTATAAATGATGTAAATTCCGCAGGGTCCCCCATGAAAATGGGTGTCCCACAAGGATCGATCTTGGGCCCATTATTATTCTTAGTATATATAAATGATCTCCCCTTTTATGCCTTGAGTTATGTGATGTTGTAGTTTGCTGACGACACATCGCTTATTTTTAAGGTTGACCGATATGTATCGAATTATGACGACGTGAATAGTGCACTTTCGCGTATCCTCCACTGGTTTACCATTAATAATATGGTGTTAAATGCTAAAAAAACTAAATGCCTTCTTTTTGCCCTTCCCAACGTAAGAAGGCAAAGTTTTAGCTTAAAATTGAATAGCGTAACCCTTAATCCTGTTGAGTCCGCTGTATTCTTGGGAATCACAGTAGATTCAAAGCTCCAATGGAGTCCCCATCTATCATCTCTTGCGAATAGGTTAAGCTCCGCTGTTTTTGCAATTAGGAAGGTTAGGCAGCTATCAGACATCGACACTGCCAGACTTGTTTACTAGTTATTTTCACAGCATCTTGTCGTACGGCATTTTGTTGTGGGGTAGTGCATCTGATATAAATTCAATATTTATTATTCAAAAAAGAGCTGTCCGAGCAATTTATAACATCGGAGCCCGGAATACACTCTGACATCTTTTTAAAGAGATTAATATACTCACTGTTGCGTCTCAATATATTTATTGTAATATTTTGTATGCTAAACAGAATATTAATAATTATCAAAAGAATAGTGACAGACAAACTAAATACTAGAAATAAGGACAAACTAACTACGCCATTATTTCGCCTACAAAAAGTAAACAGATCGTTCATGGGGCAAAGTGTGCGCATGTATAATAAAATCCCACAGTCGATGTTAAGTCTGCCACTTGATGAATTTAAACGAAAAATTAAAATTACACTTATGGCTAAAGCCTATTATACTATTGCCGAATATCTTGACGACGCCAATGTGTGGGGTTAATACTGTTGATACTCACGTAGGCTAAAACAAGACTATTGTACCTGTACTATTATATTGTACTGATTTTTTTAAAAAGAGCAACTGTTGAGTTTCTTGCCGGTTTCTTCTCAACAGAAACTGCTTTCCGAACCGGTGGTAACTTACGAACGTGTTAATTTCTTGTAAAATTTTGACGTTTCATAAGAACGCGCAAGCGTCTATGTTAATAAAGATATTTTATTATTATTATTATATGTAAATATGTTAACCAGGTTCCATCAACAACAGGTATAATCTTTTAAAAAAATAGTATGGTAAACGAAAATTGGAGAATTTGAGAAGAAAGACTCGATTTATAATTTACATTAATTTTTAAATATTTTATTAACACAATTCATTCAATAACACCAAAGATTATAACATTCTCTAACATGAATCCTAGGATAAAATACAATTTTTACCTATTCATTACTTACCAATTTATAATCATTCAAACACTATGAGGTATACATAATAAAAATACTTTGAAATATATTAGTAAGTAAGTCGTCAGAAACGTTTATATGATTATAGTATCTAATACAGAGTTATAATATTGCTGCAGCTTGTCATGACTTATACTTCACGACGTATGCTTATAAAAAAAGATAATGTAGAGGTAAATAAAACACAGAACATAAGTAGAAACAAAATAATCTGGAATGTACAAATCATGTTTATTAACTGATTCCTGGCAATACATTGGTTGTGACTTGCTTCCGGTACTCATTTAGCCACATTGGAGACAGCGATAATACATAGGCGATAAAGGTACAAGTATTAAGTATACAATACACCCACTATAACACTGAAAGCCATTTATCATAAAATACTCAAGCCAGGTTCAAACCATAACATTCTCAGTTAAAGAGATATCGGTACACAGTACCCTGGGGGCATCAACGGTTCATAAATATTATTTAAGATAACTCGTTTGGACTTAATTTTCTACTCTAACTGTACATTAGTTTCGCCTTATTGCTAAAATAATCTAAAAGTTGATATCGTCAGTTGCAAAGGATTTTTTATTAGGGTGGAGATGATGTTAAACGCGCAAAATAGACGCATCGCGGCGCGGTGCAACGTTACCACCGCGACGAAATGTCAAAAACACAAATAGGGCGATAAGAATTAAATTAAATTAAATAATAATAAATTACTGCGTCATCGCACGGTAGCGTCGTAAAATCATGATTGGGACTCGTTGAAATTAAACGGTAAATAATAAAGTAGAAAAAAATTCAAAATAGACAATAGAAAAATCGCCGTTTGCACAGGCACGCGTCTCTAGGCGCGACGCCGCCGCAGCATCTAGGCAACGCCGGGCCGGAGAATATGCGACCAGTTCAAACGGTTATGTATCAATCTCTATGGTTTGATGTCGTTCTACATTATGGATGTTGTTCGGCTTGGTGCCATGGTGCTCTGTGCTCTATTTTAATGTGCTACCGGCGACGACGCACCTGTTTACTGTGCGCGCAAGATCCAACCAGGCACAGAGTCCCGTGGCACCGGGAGTCGGTGTGTTCAGATTTACTGCTTCGTGTAAAGGTAGATGGCGACGATGAGCCCGTAGAGACCCAACACCTCGGCGAAGATGAGAATGAGGATCATTCCGACGAATAGCCTGGGCTGCTGCGCCGTGCCGCGGACACCGGCATCACCGACGATGCCTATGGCGAAACCAGCGGCGAGACCTGAGAATCCTACAGCGAGACCGGCACCAAGGTGGATGAATCCTCTGGAATTGTGAAAGCAGCAGTTAGAAGTCTGATTTATGTAATAATGCCTACGTAATATATCTACCGAATATTGAGTTTCATAGAAAAAAAAAAGAACATTAACATCATGTTGTAAACATTTTTAAGCAATTTTTTTGTACATTATTTTGATAAAGGTCTTTGATGTATGTTCATGTTGTAACTATTTGGATTGAGTAATTAGACATGTTAATGAAAGAGCATGGGTGAACCAAGACTGACCTATATTTGGTGTTCAGTTCCCTCGTTATGATTTAAAACTCTAATATTTTGTTTTATTATGAACTATTTTACCACATTTAAAGCAGTCCATAACAAAAGCTTTATTAATTAGCTTTATTAAAAAAGGAACAAATATGACAGATATTACAATATTATAGAAAACATGTTGAACTAAGAATTTATAAGCAGATTTGTGTTAAAAGACTTGTGGAGTTGAGTATGTGATTTATTGAAACTAAATAATACTGTTTGGACAATGTTATCTGTTGCCTCGATTTCTTTCAAAGATGCTGCATAAAAAATGAGAAAACACTACAATGACATTTTCTTTATAACTTACTGTTTATCATTGATTCTTTTAATTATTATGTAAGCAAAATAAAATAATATAGAAAAATCTTTCCTGTAACCTTGTTTGAAGACAGAAAAGATTGGTCACATACCAAGGCCATCACAACTAGGTCAACTATTCAAGCAAACCAAAAATGCAATGTTAATTGTATGAGACAATGTGCATCAACTTCTACATGGCATGACAAGGCTACTTTATGGGAAATTTACTACTTTTCTACCATAGGCCAACACTTTAGGCTTCTGGTATGCAATTAAGAAAACATTTGGGGATTTTTATTATAACAAGGAGAAGAGTCCATAGTTCATTACAGCTCTGAAGAATTTTCTTTTCTTTTGTAAATTTTGAAAATGGCTTTTAGAACTTAAGTTTAAAAATATTTAAGTGAAATAAAAAGTAAACTTTGTGCAAACATTCACCCATTAATGTACATTATTACAATCTTTTATTATTGGGATAAATATTACCTGGGGACCGCACAAATTATTTTCGTACAAAGGGAACTATTAAAATTAAAACTATGCAAAGGTATGTTTTGTGCTAAAAGTTAGTTTAAGATAAGAAATTGTTCACTCCACTTCGTGAAGGGCCAACTTTGTTGCCATTTATTATACTATCTAGGCTACATGTTCTGTTCTTTCCGGCCATTGTAATGGGCTAGGTCGAGAGTATGTTTTATTATACACGTTGCACAACCAAAACTGTGTAAAATTTGAAAAGCTACCTGAAGAGGCTGTATGCTGGTGGGCTCTCAAGGGAACCGGCGATCAGGACGGCCACGACCAGACCGTAAATGGCAATGATACCCGCCATGACTACGGGAATGATGGACTTCATGATCAGCTCGGGCCGCATCACCGACATGGCGGCGATACCGGTACCCGACTTGGCGGTACCATAGGCGGCTCCCAGCGCTGAAACAGCAATTGTGACACTCAATTGTAGAAAAGTAATTTGTGTATTTATCCAATATACAAACTTGTCACTTGAAGCTACTATTTTCATACCTTGTGCATATAAGTATAGACTTTACACAAAGAAAAGGATTTTTAAGTTATGGTTACTTTTTCAAAACATTCTTGTCCTAAACCAAAACTGGCCTTTTTGGTAGAATCTTTAACTAGATGGCCCCAAGTGATGAGAATCACACATTTGAAGTTTAGGCTGCAGATCATTATGGTCTTTTAAAATGTTTAGAAAAGAAATGGAAGCTTAGTTTTGACCAGCAGATAAAAATTCATTTTAATTAATATAAAACATGAAATCATTCATTATAGTATGAAAATATTTATATACAGAATTAATAATTTTCAGGAATTTAACCTCATCAATCTAGAAAATCAAATACTTGCTGAAATCTGATTAATTAATAATAAAGGAACAAGTGATGTAAATAATGATAAAAATTTAAAAGTTTAAATAATGTCCTCAATTTATGTAAGGTATTGTTCATGTTATTCCAAATTCATATTATGTAATAATGATAAAGGATCCTTTAAAAGTTAAAGTTCAAGTAATCCATAGAATTAAACCATGCCTTTTCCTATTTAAGAAAAATGGATTACTTCCAATTTCCATAATTCCATAGATCATAATTACAAAAGCCAACAAAAGATGACTTCATGCTAAAAAGTAAAGACAAATATGGGTTAAGTTTATAAGATGAGCAGCTGACATGATCACATGATGAAGTTATCAATCATGTGATTGTTAACTTATTGATTTTTTATCCATTACAGTATGCCTGACCCCAATCTGCAAAATTTAAACTGAAGACAAAATTTAGGTCACAAAAGCGATAAATAGGTCGCGCTTAAATAGCTTGAACTAATAAGTTGCAACATAGAATATGACTAATTGGGTAAAATTTAATTAAGGATCGTAATTTTCAACGTTTTGTATCGAAACCGCTTATTTTAGTAGACAGAGGTTAACAATTTCATATTAAGTTTACGTTTATGTATTGTTTGCTTGCTCAGTCACGGGTTAGGGCATTCATTTCTGCAACAAAATCGATCCATTTTAAACTCTTTTACAATAAGCTTAAGAGCGAAATTAGCATTGGCAGGGGAATCCATACGTAAATTGGATAGTGAATGAAGTGAAATTCCATTTCAACGGGGTTTTTTGTTGTACCGAAACAGTGCTACCAACGTGATATTAATCAATCACATGACAAATGATTCACATTTAGGGCGAAGTGTAACGTTCGACAATACAATTTTCAACTTGAAAATATCGTAAGATGGGGATAGTGGCCAAAAAACTAATTATCTAGATATAGTCCGAATACCCTAGTCTGACAACAAGGCGAGGCTGTGACTATAATTAGTACTCTTAAAATAACCAGATTTGTAGTTTTCATTTGGTAGACACATCGATAAACATTAAAATCCAGCAGTAAAAGGATGAAACTCATCTCCGGTGCTATAATTTAGAGATCGATAACGGACAGCCATTACAATCAATTCATTTTATATGCTTACCGCTAAAGATGATAGCGGACGCCGCCCCCATAACTCCAAAGAAGGGTCCATAGATGGGACTTTCAGCGGTCGGGCCAGACGAAGACATCTTGAAAGTGTAGTGTGGGAGTATTTACAGGTCCCAAAAACTGTGATGACTATCTGCACACACTCACTCCACGGAACTATTTTAGCACAGACAAATATGGCTCAAGCTTTGCAGACTCGATAGAATGGGTCATATGACGATTGATGTTCAAGGCAGTGCTCGATATGCCCTAAGATCTGATTGGCTTTGTTACGTTACTTCCGAAATGCGCGTCCAATCACGAGCTAGAGATTTCGCAGCGACATGACGTACAGCATTGATGTGGATCGCTGGCCAGCAAAATTGTTTTGCGCATGTACAGTTTAGTCATTTTAGTACTTTTTTAACATTGTAATTACATTTTCAATTAAAGAAATACAAAAGGGACACATTAGGAAATTACTATTCATAAAATTATAATAAGGGATAGTATTAAGAACCCTGGAATGTTTAATTTAAGTAATTAAATTTAAAAGTGGTTTCCCTTCAGAGCATAATGTTGCCATAATATATGATTATCAATTTAATTAGCGAAAATTTGATTTATTATTACAAATCATAAATAATTTTTACGATGAATTTAAGACAAATTAATACACTGAACTGACAACAATTGTAAAACAATATTTAAATTGCATAAAAATGCAAAGACGAACGGGCATGTAAATATTCTTAATGTAAGATAAGTCACTGTCAGTTGTCACTGTCAAATCTTAATTGTCATTGTCAATTATCATGTGTGTTTCACGTTGTTTTCGTTGAAATAGTGTTTTGAATTTTGGTATCATTATTTAATATACTCCGTTATTAAGACGAAAGTTCAACTTTTCCATTTAATATGAAGTTTAATTATAAGGTAATATACGTCTTAAGTGTATAACTTCTGTTACTAAATAACGCGAATGCTAGGTTAAAAGTTATAATGTTATCAATCGTTTGTTTTGCGAGGAAAGACATCTGAATATACTTAGCTTTTATAACATTCTTTGTTTCAGTTTCAAAATTTATTAGGGACAGTGTATAGGAAAGGTGATATACTATTTACACACGATGGAAACTGCGTCATTAGCCCAGTGGGAAACAGGATCACTATCTACAATTTGAAACAGTGAGTTTATAATCAGGCAAAATGTGTAAAAAAATTGTCAAAATTTTTTTGCCGCTGCCACAATCAACCAGTGGCTTCCGGATTACGCGTCCAGACTACCTTTAACCAACTTTTCTTTACTTTTAACTTTAGCCACTTAGTTAAGCGATAACCGAAACCCGACAGTCAACATTTTTTTTACAATTGATCTAAATGTATAAATTTTAATTTTATCCTAAGTGCAGAGACTGATATGAAAATAAAAAAGAGAAAGAGGTTAAAGTGCATTAACTAGTAATTAAAGTTTATAACTTGTTTAAATTAATTCGAATTTTTCCTATTTGCAACATGATTTTTTCTTAAGAAGTAATAATAATTCATAATTTTGGATAGTTACTTGCAACTTAGAATTAAACAAACATTATTTTTTCTCAGAAACAAAAGCAACACATTGTCCGTTGAGAGCCATTTTAACTATACAGCTTTAGATGTATCACCTAATGGATCTGTCCTCTTAGCTATCAATGAAAGTGAGTATTATTTATTATGAATTTCTGTGATTTTCTCAACTGGATTAATGATTTAATACTGACTGGGGTTCAAATGACGAATTGGTTGAAAAGGAATGTCAGATAATTACAAAAATATTGTTGGTAATTTTATCCATACTATATCCCTGATGTTTTTGTTTTCTTTTAGAGGGTGAAGCGCAAATGATAAGCCTCCTCACGTGCACAGTTATACACAGGTATAAATTCAAACAGCAAGTAAATGCGGTCAAGTTCAGTCCAGATGGTAAATACTTTGCGGCATGTTGTGATAATACAGGTAAACTATAAATATTCAGTAAATTTTTGTTGAAAGCATTGTAAAAGCCTTAGAAGTTTATTATATTATTTAAGAGTTCTGCTTTCTGTACTGCATTTATATAACATTAGCTTAAGAAATAATATAAATAAAATATATACATAATAATACAAATGACTCAAACTTTATAAACCTATTTAAGGATTAAATTATTTTATTTACAAAGTGTTATTTACAGTTAATCATCCTCAAAATTGCTATTTCACAGATTATTGGAGGATTTTTATTTAGAAAGGTCCTTTTATGTGCTTTGTTTATTATATAGTTAAAGGAGTTGGGTTAAAATCAAAATGCTACAATGCTAGGATAAAATGAAAAACACTTGCACATCTTATTTTGGTTCAAATCTAAAGTTTTTAAATGTTTATTTACTCTACACAAAAGTCAGTGATTTTTTTTTGCTTCAATTGATTTTTAACATTGAAATAATAAGATGAAACGTAGTCATGTTATAGTGATGTTGGTTTTGCTGATTCAAATACATGGATCATGTAGCTTGAGAATTTTCCAAATGGTTGTTTTTAGAAACTGTTTAAACTTCTTAGTATTTGTTCAGGTTTAACTCTACTTATATATGGATGTTATTACTTTATTACACATTTATAATTGAACTTATATTTTAGTGTTCATCATGACGGCGCCGTGTACCTTCACCGGTGAATTCAGATCGTTTGTGATGAAGCGCGTGTTCAAGAAGGCTTATGACGATGTCACCTGCATCGACTGGTCGACCTGTTCCAAGCTCTTAGCAGTCGGTTCTAAGGACACGACAACCAAAATATACACAGTGGACTACCTGGACAATATCAATATGTACTCCTTAAGTGGGCACACGGACAAAGTGGTGGGGGTCTTCTTCGAGATGAAGAGTCTGGACCTAATCACCGTTAGCAGGAATGGGCAGGTGTGCCTGTGGGAAGCCAGCCTTGACCCCGACGACTTAGTGGTGTCAGCAGTACAGGTGTCGCATCGGAAGAGAAGGAGACTGCAAAAGGATGAGGAAAGTGAAGACGACATTGATGAGAGAGACGTGATAGAGAAGGATAAAGAAGATGTGAGATTTTTTTTAAATAATAACATTTATTTATTAAAATAGAACATTGATTCTCAAAGTGGGTGGTACCGCCCAACACTGGGCAACAGTATCTGATTGAAAGTAAATATTGGGGACACTTAATCGCACTCATTCAAGGAGAAGTTCATTAATCAGCCTATGTTATTATTATTCCTGGCGGGCGTTGCGTAATCAATTTTTCCTATTTATCTGGACCCGTGGCAGATTATAGAATACATACAGAATAAAAAAGTTGGGTTACTTGTCCCTCGCCCAATGCTCAGCATTGTCTATCAAATAGTTTATTGCGTTATTATTCTAGAATTACCACCTACGGATGTGAAAGACTACTATAATACCTAGTACTATAATTGATTTATTTTTAGTAGCTCCATGCAAATGCTTTTAATTATTTAACTCGCTACACAGTTAAAAAGTATTTGCTTTTTATATCATAAATTTTATAATATGACAGAAAAAAATGCGGTGGTAGGGCCAACAGTGTTGTTGCAGGAATGGGCTGGTCCGCCCAGGTAAGTACCATGACCTCACAGAAGACCGGCGTACAGTAGAAGTGTTATACTTCTGCGTTTCGTCTGGTGAGTGAGGTAGCCGGGGCCCACTTTATTTAAAGGTGGTAATGAATTTGCAACCCTACGAGTGTTAGAAATGTCCATGGGCGGCGGTTATTACTTAACATCAAGTGAACCGCCCACTCGTTTGCCACTTTCTCACATAAAAAAAAAGAAAAAATGCTATTGTAGCTAATCTTGGAACATTATCAATTAAAAAGTTGAAAATTACCCGCTTTTCAGACTAAAATGGAGATTTAATTCTACATGATGATATTTTTATTGAACGCCACTGAGTATTTTACTGGAGCCAATATTGTTAATATTTTGATTAACTTGAATTTTCAGGAGAGTGATGGAGAGGAGAAGCAGTTATCAGAAAAGAAGGTGAAAGAAAAAGAGAAGAGATTGATGTATAAAAAGCTTGGCAGGCATTATATCGGCGATGCTATAAGGAATGCAGACTTCAAAGTGAAACTGTCAGCAGCACAATATCACAAAGCAACGAAGATGCTTATTACAGGTGACATTTATAATATGTATAACTTATAAAGATTTGACTGGTTTGTCTGTTTGTCTTTAAGTAATTAAGGACCATGAGTTGAAAATAGACTAAATAGACTAGATAATATAGTCAATAAATTTATTTCATAAAATTTATGTACTAACACTTACATTTTTTTTACAGACTCAGTCAATATGACAATGTAAAATTAAAAAATAGACTTCTTGGCAAAACTAAGTTGAGTTTGATGACCAGATGGGCGTAGTAGTTAGAACATGTCTCTTGCAGCTCAGGTTTTAGGTTCGATCCCCACCACTGGAAAAATATTGTGTGATGAATCTCTTGTTATGTTCATTGTTGTAATATTCTTTGTAAGGTGTTGAATGCCGTAAAGGTTTTGAATGTAATGACGCCAAGCAAAAAATGAAATAGAATAAACGTAGATAGATGTCGAGATCGCCGTGAGGTCATCGGCCGCTTAGCTTAGTGGATTGATGGACTTCACATATGTTCAAATTTTTTTTTATTATTTCGACGATATGCAGGCTTTCTCATGATGTTTTCCGTCACTGCTGAGCACATGATAAGCCAGCACATAAAATTTAATTTTAAAAAGTAAATCTTTTATGGGACAATGTATACGTTACTACAACAAAATTCCAGAAAACGTTCAAAATGCATCAATAGCTAAATTAAAAAAAAATAGTAAAAACGTTTGTGTGTTAAAGGCTACTATAATATTAATGATTATTTAAATGATAACACAATCTGGTAATGAACTGATCGCTCCAGGCTCTTTCAATCGGAGTTCTTATATTGTATTTTTAATGAATTTATGTCAAACTGCTTATTTAAAAAAAAAAAATCCCGCTTCTCAGTACAGTGGCTTTTATTCCGAAAGGGTGGTAGTGTTTTGACTATCAATAAGTGAGTGTAATGCTATGTATGTTGAATAAAGACATTTGATTTTGATTTTGATTAACAATGTCATCGGTGCCGGCACCGACACAGTATATTAAATTAAAGGCGCAGCGCCCGGACACTGAGCTATCGCGGCACATATAGATAGGAACTCATCACAAGCATTCGTACAGGTTTCTCCAACGGGATGTTCTTCCTGCACGAGATGCCGGATCTGAACCTGGTGCACACGCTCAGCATATCCGAGCACAGGATCGGCAGCGTGGCGGTCTCGCCCCAGGGCGACTGGATCGCCCTCGGCTGCCCCCAGATCGGCCAGCTGCTGGTGTGGGAGTGGCAGAGTGAGTGCAAAGCGAAGACCTTGAAAGTACATCCTTACTTCCTTACTAATATTATAAAGGCGAAAGTTTGTATGTATGGATCGATGTTTGTTACTCTTTCACGCACATACTACTGAATGGATTTTAATGAAACTTTACAATAATATAGCTTATACATCAGAATAAGAGATAGGCTATAATTTATATACATATTTTATGTATATCTGTCTTTCTGTCTTAATGTTACACCTTCAGCCTATTCTCCGCAGACGTAGTCGCGGGCAGCAGCTAGTTAAGCATATGCGGATCGATGTAAAGGAGCCACAGAATAAAATAATGTTATTTTATTATCTATATTTTCCCCTGTAGTAGGGTCAAGCAACAGTGTTTGCTGTTGCACGAATGGGCATGTTCATTCTGATAACTCCCACGACCTCACAGAAGGTCGGCGTGAAGTGTAATTGTTAGACTTCTGCGTTTTGTATCGTGAGTGACGTTGCCGGGGCCCATCTTCAACCTTAGGAGTGTTGCGAATGGCCATCGGCTGCGGTTATCATTCATCATCAGGTGAACTGGCAGCTCATTTGTCAGTTTCTTACATAAATAAATAAGGAACCACATCAGATTGCATAAGCATTTCCCCTTCTTTAAATTCGTTAATCCGCCAATTTAAAAGATCTATCAATGTTGTGGCTGTGCAATGAATGCTTGTATGTCATGTTTTATCCACAATTGCCTCCTCCCGTGATCGCTGTAGAAAAATGTTGGCCACCCCTGAACTAATAGGCTCGCATTGCTGACTGGCAAGCAGTATGTCATGAACTAGGACCTTTGTAGTGAAATGTTGGCCACCTCTGAGTTAATAGGCTCGTGACGCTAATAGGCGAGCAGTAAGTCACGACCGCCATCCTTTGTAGGAATACATTGGCTACCCCTGGACTAACGGACGGTCTACGTTGACAGGCGGGCAGTAAGTCACGAACGCGGCCCTTTGTATATAAATGTTGTCTACCCCGAGACCATAAGTACGCGACGTTAAAACGAACCCGGCCCTTTGTATAGAATATTGGCCACCCCTGGACTAATTCACGCACGACGTTGACAGGCTGGCAGTACGTCACGAACCCGGCCCTTTGTATAGAATATTGGCCAGCGCTGGACTAAAGGACGGTCGACGTTGACAGGCGAGCAGTACGTGATGAAGCAGCAGGGCCACTCGCTGGACATGACCTGCGTGGCGTACTCGCCGGACGGCCAGTACGCGGTGACGGGCGGCTACGACGGCAAGGTGAAGCTCTGGGACGCGAGCAGCGGCTTCTGCGTGGTGACCTTCGGCGAGCACAAGTCCACCGTCACCGGGCTGGTGTTCAGCGCCAACAAGCGCTTCCTCGTCTCCTCCTCGCTGGACGGCACGGTCAGGTGCTACGACCTCACGAGGTGTGTCATCGACACCTTTCAGCTTGATAGCATATAGGTATAGTCTAGATATAGTTTCCCCGTGGTAAGGCCACGAAACAGTCTTCGCTGTTGCATAAATGGGGAAATACCACAAGCTCACATTAGACCATTATTAAAAGGTGGCAAGATTGCAGCGCATCTGCAATCTTACGAGTATTACAGGTATCCACGGGCGGCGGTCATCACTTAACATCATGTGAAACGCCAGCTCGATTGTTAACATCTCCCATAAAAGAAAAGCGTTACAAAACAAGACATATAAATAAATTATTTCTAGACATTAAAATGTTTTAATGTTCAATCTAAAGTGCAGAGATTAGCACTATAAAAAAATTTTAAATTTATGAAAAGCAATGGCGACATCTCTCGTTCGAATTATCGTTGTAAAACGATATTCGAAATTGTTTGTATGCTGGAAAGGATATAACAATAGATGCGCTAAGCATTGCTTCAAATGCTAAATAAAAATGTAGAAGGAAGGCGTTAAGATTTTCGTCGGTGTGGCTATCAGACGTTTAGCTCAGTGGCTAGAGCGTCAGGCTGCGAATGCCGAAGACGTGGGTTCAATTCCCACAGCGGCGACAATCTTTTCGTACTTTTTCTATATGTTTTAAAATTATTTCTTGTTGGTCTATAAGATGCACGCGTTAATAAGTAGGAAAGACCTGCCAGTCCCCGGTAGAGGTCGAACCTTTTGGGGTTGTGAGGATGAGGGTTCTCGCAGGTACCGCAACTTCCGTACCCTGACCTCGCCGAGCCTGGTGCAGTTCAGCTGCGTGGCGCTGGACAGCAGCGGCGAGCTGTGCGCCGCCGGCGGCCAGGACGTCTTCGAGATCTTCCTCTGGTCCGTCAAGTTCGGCAAACTCCTGGACGTAAGCGACCACCAAATCATATCTAGCTGAACCGCCATACATAAACTTCGCGTGCCCAAACACCCAGATCCGAAAGAATTATCTTTGGGTCAAACACATAGTTGTCTCGTGTGGCGATAGAATCCACGATCGCCGGCGTCGGAGTCAACGCTTCAGCAACGGCGCCACGGAGCAGCCGGAATCGAACCCACACCGCTCGCGTCGCAGCCATTACCTGGACAAATGCGTCACAGAACCACCGTTCCAGGTGCTAAGCGGACACGAGGCGCCTGTGGCGAGCGTGGTCTTCAGCCCCTCGGCTGGCAGCTCCAAGCTGGCTTCGGCCGGCTGGGACAAGACCCTGAGGCTGTGGGACTGCGTCGAGTCCGAGGGTGTCAGCGAGCCGGTGCGGCTGACGGCTGAAGCGCTCCAGCTCGCCTTCCGACCCGACGGCGAGGAGGTGAGGTTCCACGGCCGGGCTAGTGACCTTCAGTCCAAGGCTCCAGATTATGGTACCATATGAGACGGTCGTAAATAATGATGGGACCAGTCCAGCTCCCCTTACCCGACGGCGAGGAGGTGAGGTTCCACGCCCGGGCTTGTGACCTCCAACTGGTTCTGGTCCCGTAAGAGATGTTGTTAAATATGCTAGGCTCCATGTTCGCCTTCCGACCCGACTGCCAGTAATTTTCAATGATTAACTTGTTTGATAATGCCTCTATAAAGTCAAGATACTAAAAATAATACATGTCAAATCTGGGGAATTATCTGGACTTCCATTTGACGCCTCGCGTTTGTGCTTACTCCAGATTGCGGTGTCGACCCTGGACGGTAACATATCGTTCTTCAACTCGACCACCTGCGATCAGAACGGCAGCATCGAGGGTCGCAATGACCTGGGCTCAGGGAGGTCCGACACAGACCTCATAACGGCCGCGAAGATGCTCAAGACCAAGTGAGTTGGGAGACGAGAACTTTGTCTTTCGCGTGCTTTGATAGCTCGGTGGCTCAGTTGCCGAGCCTTTGGCCTTGATGTCGGGAATCATTGATGGGTTCGATTTTCGTGATTATTATTTGTCCGGCCCTGGGTGTTTCTTCTGAAGGAGTGAAATTTCAGTCAACAGCACAACATTCACATAAAAATTATAGCATACTATAATGACAGAAGCGATAGAAGAGGGGTGGATTTGTGCTAATTGGAAGATGTATCTCGCTATACAGGGTGGCTTTTCTAAACGTGCCCAAAAATTCAAACAGGAGGTACTGACTCTGTAGTATAATTGTATATTTCAATAAAAGCTGAACACTTAAAAAAATGCCGTTCTATTCCCTAAAAAACAGAACTTGTTCGCAATGCGCCAATCATTCATATAGGCGTCGTATACTTTTGTAACGAACTTGTGTGCGTATTAGTTACGAATGATCGCGCGTAAAATAAATGAGTTGCGTATAAATCACGCACTTTTTGAGATAAGTTCAAATTAATGAATTAATTACTTACGAGTGATTTTAAATATTTATCATTTTTTATATAACATTATTTATGCCAGAATTTAGAATTTTAGAATTTAATTAAAAAAAATGGATACACTTAGAAAAGCCACCCTGTATATAGCATAGCACATAGAACCTGTTTTTTATTTGCCACAAATAATGACTTGTACAATTAATTCTGTACTATACACTGTCTTCAATAGGGCCATCATACTTTCCTGGGTAGGCCTATCCATTTGCATCACCACATTGATGTAGATTCACACGCTCCTCGTCCCGCCCGACCACAGAGCCTTCACCACCATCTGCTACTCGGCGGACGGCAGCTGCCTGCTGGCCGGTGGCAATTCGAAGAACGTGTGCCTGTACAGCATCAGGGAGGCGGTGCTGATAAAGAAGTTCGTCATAACGCAGAACAGGTCCCTGGATGCGATCAATGTAAGCACCGTTGCCTTAAAGCAGTAAAGGAAGGAAAAAAGTAAAAAAAAAAATAGTTGTATTATTTGGAAACTCTTAACTCATCATCATCATCATTTTAATTAAAGTAGGCTTACATGGCAAAAAGGCTCAATGAGAATGTATTGTAAAGTGTCGTTACACAAATATTCGTCGTTTAATGTTATTTGTATGCTGTAAAGGATACAAACTAGATGGTGGGAAGCGTTGCTAAAAATGCAGTATGCAGTAAGTCGAGATTTTCCCGTCGTGACATCATCGGCCGCTTAGCTAAGTTGGTAAATCATCAGGACGGGAAACCAGAAGACGCAGCTTTGAATCTCGCAGCGCTTGGCTGTATCTAAAAAAAAATAATAATTTAAAGGCTTTGTTAAAAAAAGTTTAATTTAGTTTTTATTTTCACTTATTTCATTATTGGTACTACACAAATATTAAGTCAAAATGTGACTTGAAAAGAACACGCAGACCTTTAAGCCCTATCCTCGTCACGTGCCCAGGTAAAACTGTCCATCATCAACGGGCACTTCATCGAATTTCATCGAAAACCGCTCAGCCGCCGCCCCGAAGCAAATAAGTAATCGGCAAAATGCGAACGCGGCACGCGCTCCCTTTCACCATGTGACAATGCGCGCGTTCCCTTTCCGGCAGGACGTGGTAAACCGCCGCCTGCTGAGCGAGTTCGGCAACCTGGCGCTGGTCGAGGAGCGGACGGAGTACGAGGGCGGTGACGTCAGCGTGCGCCTTCCCGGCGTCAAGGCCGGCGACATGGCCGACAGGAACGTCAAGCCCGAGGTGAGCCCAACTTTATCCCCCCTCCCCACTTTAACCCCCCCCCCCCCACTGTCCCCACTCCCCACTTTATCCCCCCACTCGCTTTATCCCCCCTCCCCACTTTATCCCCCCCACTCACTGTCCCCACTCCCCACTTTATCCCCCCACTCGCTTTATCCCCCCTCCCCACTTTATCCCCCCCACTCACTGTCCCCACTCCCCACTTTATCCCCCCACTCGCTTTATCCCCCCGTTCCCACTTTATCCTCCCACTCACTATGCCCCTCCATACACATTTACATTTTTTCTACCAATCGATTTTGTAACGCACTTACTGACATTTCTTTTACCAATCGATTTTGTTACACATTTAATTACATTTTTTTACCAATCGGTTTTGAATCACACTTATTTTACATTTCTTTTACCAATCGGGTTTGAATCACACTTATTTACATTTCTTTTACAAATCGGTTTTGTTACACACTTAATTACATTTGTTTTAGCAATCAGTTTTGTTACATGTTTATTTACGATTTTTTACCAATCGGTTTTGTTACATACTTATTTACATTTCTCTTACCAATCAGTTTTGTTACATACTTATTTACATTTCTTTAACCAATCGGTTTTGTAACATAGTTATTGACATTTATTTTACCAAACGGTTTTGTTACACATTTATTTACATTTCTATTAACAATCGATTTTGTAAAGGTTTTATTTCTAATCAGAATAGCGAGTTAAATTATAGCAATAAAAAAAGCAAATCTTAAAAACTCCATTTCAGAGACTTTTTTATATTTTTTATTACGCATAGTTTTTAATTCAAAGTTCTTTATTGTAAATATTATCTTAAACTAATTCAACTTGTAACTAAAATCGTAAACATTGTTACTATGATTCTTGTTAACATTTTTTTTACACTTTTTTAACACTTTTTCTTATTACAAGTATTGTTCTCGTTTAGTTATTCTTGTTTTGTCACAGTTACCGTTGTTCTTGCCAGTATTCTTACCATAGTTCTTAGAATTATTCCTACCATTTTTCTCATGGTTATTCTTGAAATTGTTCTCACCAATGTTTTCACAATTACTCTTTACATTGTTCTTACCATTGTTCCCACAATTATTCTTTACATTGTTCTTACCGTTATTCTCACCATTGCTTTCACAAATACTCTCACCGTCCTTCCCAGATGCGAGTCCACTGCGTCCGCTTCTCGCCGACCGGCGAGGGCTTCGCCGTTGCGGCAACAGAGGGCCTCATGCTCTTCTCGCAGAGCGCTGGACTCGACGGCAGTTTCAGGTGCGCCCTCATCGGTCGACAGAATTATCGGGAGTTTGCAATTTTTTTTATGTGTGAAAAGTTGCCAAGCGAGCAGACGGTTCACCCGATGTTAAGTGAACACCGCCCCCCATGGACATCTGCCACACCCGAGGGTTGCGGATGCGTTGACAACCGTTTTGAGAATTGGGCTCATGGCAATGGCAGAATTACGACAGTTACGATAGCAAGGGAGGGCCACAGCGTTTCGTCTGATGAGCGAGGCAGCCGGAGCCCAGTTTATTAAAGTGGCAACACTTTACTGTTGCAACTGTCCATGGGCGACGGTTGATACTTTAAACGGGTGAACGGCCAGCTACCGCCCTGTCTCCTAGCCATTTAAAAAAAAATCTGGAGCCGATTCGTGTAGAATATACAATTTCTGCATGTAAGAGAGGAAGAAAATAGAATGTAGACTTTCAAATTTTTGTAGTAAAAAGGAACGGAAAGTTTCTCGCCGCTGTGGCAATCGAACCTACGTTTCGGGATTCGCGCCCCGACGCTCTAGCTGCTAAGCTGATTGCTCCACCGACGAAAGTTTCAACGCCTCTTTCTACATTTATTTATTTATACTTTATGCACACAAAATATGTACAGAGGCGGACTTAATGCCATCAGCATTATCTACCAGTCAACCTTTGGGTGGCCCAGAGAAGTTTAAGTAGGTGCATTGATTGTAAGAAAAAAACAGATACAGAAAAAAAAAGAAAGAAAAAAAAAAAAAACAAATTTATAAGCGATATTACATAAAATACTATACTGGGTATATTGGTATATGGTATATATTGCAATGATTATGTACATATAGAAAAATAAAGGTATTTAAATACAAAATACTTATATAAATACAAAATACTTATATAAATAAATATATACATAAATAATATACATACTTATATGATTAACGATCCTGTGTATCTGTCGACAATTTTTTGAGCAGGTATTCGCGAGTTTTTCTTTTACATTGTTTTTTTGCATTTGAAATTTTCGTTCTGCAAAAATTTTAATGTTTAATCTTTTTTGTGCAATTGCTAATTGCTAATCTTTGCTGTGTCATTACTTTCATTTATTATTTTCAATAAGTCATCTTATTGAAAATAATAAATGAAAGTAATGACGATGGATGACGAACAGCTGTAAGAGGACGGCAATTTTATTTTTTCGTGAATTTCAGACCCTACCGTCTGGAGATGGGGTCGACGCCGCTGGCAGTTAAGAAGCTTCTAGAAGAAGGCTCTTGGGGTCCAGCTCTGCTCGGCGCTTTGCAGCTGAACGAGCACCACTTGATCCAGCAGTGCATCGAGTCAGTCCCAACCACGGACAGTAAGTGTTCCATTTTAATTAATACCGGCAAACGGTATTAAGGGTATCGATACTGAATTGATACCAGCAAATGGTATTGAGATATCGATACTGAATTGATACCAGCAAATGGTATTGAGATATCGATATTGAATTGATACCAGCAAATGGTATTGAGATATCGATATTGAATTGATATCAGCAAATGGTATTGAGATATCGATACTGAATTGATATCAGCAAATGGTAATGAGATATCGATACTGAATTGATATCAGCAAATGGTATTGAGATATCGATACTGAATTGATACCAGCAAATGGTATTGAGATATCGATATTGAATTGATACCAGCAAATGGTATTGAGATATCGATACTGAATTGATATCAGAGATATCGATACTGAATTGATACCAGCAAATGGTATTGAGATATCGATACTGAATTGATACCAGCAAATGGTATTGAGATATCGATATTGAATTGATACCAAATAATGGTATTGAGATATCGATATTGAATTGATACCAGGTATTGAGATATCGATACTGAATTGATACCAGCTAATGGTATTGAGATATCGATATTGAATTGATACCAAATAATGGTATTGAGATATCGATATTGAATTGATACCAGGTATTGAGATATCGATACTGAATTGATACCTGCTAATGGTATTGAGATATCGATACTGAATCGATACCAGCAAATAGTTTTCGCCAATGCTCTAGACGGTGTTGTATGAGCCGGCAGGTCCGTAACACGACTTCAAAGAAGACCGGCGTGAAGTGGAAGTGTCATACTTCAGTGTTTCGAATCGTGAGTGAGGTATCCAGGGCCCACTTTAATATAAGGTGGCAACGCGTTTGCAAACCTAAGGATGTTGCAAATGTCCATGCACGTCACTTAACATCAAGTGAACAGTCGGTTCAATTGACGTCTTCCCACATAAAAATATCGATACTTTTTTTAATTTATAATGGCACGGGTTGTGACTGATTGATTTGTTTTTTGCGATGGTCCGTTGGCGTAGTCGTTAAGCTATTGGCTCTTGGGGTCGTTAGCTTAGGTGGTGGGTTCGATTCCCACGCGGGACAAGTGTTTGTGTGACCAACAGACAATTGTTCCGGATCTGGGTGTTTATTCCCGCAGAAATTTGACGACATGCAGGTTGTAAAACCTTTGTTAGATAGTGGCAGAAAGAAGAAACAGAAGGTGCGAAATAAGAAAGAGAATTGCTACACCGGAGAATCTCTCGGCGTACTACATCCTGATTCTTTCTTTTCGTATTTCAAGCAACGCTTGGCGCGTTCGTTCCACTGACGCCGTTCTTGCATACTATAATGGGAGTGGTGGTAATCTCGCTTACGGATGCCCTCCTATTTGCTCGCTGTTCTTTGAGGGTGGCGCGTTCCTCGAGCGTTTCCTTCTAGAAGTTACGTCATCGAGACGCTATCAGGCGTGATGGCCCCGGTCGTGCGTTCCTCGGGCGTTTCCTTCTAGAAAATACGACTTGGAGGCGCTATCAGGAGTTGTGGTCCCAGTCCTGTGTTCCTCAGGCGTTTCCTTCTAGAAAACACGTCATGGAGACGATATGAGGAGTGACGGCCCCTGTCCCTACTTGGTGTTCTCCGAGGGTGTTGTCCCCAGTCGAGCTAACCGCCCGCACCCTGGGGGCGGAGTACCTGGGCCGGCTGTGCAGCGGCCTGGCGCGCCAGCTCCAGGGCCCCCACCTGGAGCACTGCCTGCTGTGGGCGCGCGCTGTTCTGCAGCAGCTGCGCGCGCCCCAGCGGCCCCAACTCCTCGAGCTGGAGAGGGCGTTGACCCTCAGGTGCTCGCAGCTCGCCAAGATGTGAGCTCCCGTTTAGTATTATTACTGTTTTAGCCAACCGGATAACTGGTGAGGGAAAACCGGTAAGTGTAGTTGCTATTGGGACTGTATCACTGCATAGTATAAAACATGGCCGTCCCACTGTCTGTTTGTCCCTATGTATGCTTAGATCTTTATTTTTTTTTATTTTTATATATAATTCTACTGTACGTGTGTAAGTCACTGATTTCCTCCTAAACGGCTGGACCGATTTTAATGAAATTTTGTGTGTCATAAGGTGGATTCGAGAATGGAATGGAAAAAATTTCGAAATTCATTTTTTTTAAGTTATCGGATTTAAGTACACACTACAGGACAGCGTCTGCCTGGTCCGCTAGAACATATATAATGTCGTTACCTATGGAATTGCCGTACTTCAGTACTGGCCATTTCAACAAAAAAAAATTTTTGATTGACTGTGAATTCTAAATTCAAATTAATTGTTTTAGAAACATGAAATTCTATTTACAAAGTCAGTCTTTTGTTCATTGATTAGCTTTGTATTTTCATTAAATTTAAAAATGTTTTTCTTTATCACATGGATACTTTAAAAATTCGTGTACTTATGGAATATGAGTTCCGTTTTGGCACAAACGGCACGGGATTTTAATTCAGGTTGCTCGAGTATGTTGAATTAAATGCGAGCGGCTCAACACTGAACTGTTACGGCATACCTAAGTAAAAATAAATAATTGAGGGTAGGTAGATTTTTACACGACGTTCTTTATACTGCGTGTCGTTACCATCGCGACAATAAATGAACACACGTCTAACGCTACTTGCCAATAATCATAAAAAAAATATTTTTCAAACAAACTAATTAAAAGTAAAAAAGAAACAAAATTTGTAACATCCTATACAACTCGCGACACAGCGTCGCATTACAAGCCTCTCCTTTTAACAGTATGTTTTGTCTCTTTTAAATTCATTCAACCCATTCATATGCTTTACAATATAATTATGTGACCTTTACAAATGAACTTTACGTTACAGTTTTATACGTAAAGGTGTTCTAAAATTGTTTGTTTTAGAAAATTTAATAACTCTGTAAATATTAATGTTTGAAGAATGTAAATGTTTAATACAATTTTAAAAATTTATCCTCTATATGTGTGTTCATTTATTGTCGCGTTGGTAACGACACGCTGTATATCTATGTTCTATGTTTATCCCCATATCTGATAAACATGCTTAAAAATACCTTTTTTTTGTAAATAAATATAAATAAACAGCTCATGGACCCTAGAAAAGCACTATATTCGTCACACAATATTTTTCCAGTAGTGGGGATCGAACACATACCCTCTGGCGCAAGAGACAGGTACTACCGACTAGGCCATTCGGGTCGCTAAGTTTCTTTGTAAATCTTTTTACTAAGTACGGATCTAAACACACATAATTTTTATTTATACTAATCTTATATCTTTTACACATACTTATGTGTAAAAGATATAAGATTAGTATAAATAAAAAATATTTCAGGGTACAATTTTACACGAGGTTCCTAAGTCCCGAACTAACACTCAGCTCTCAGCCAGTGAAAGTCCCGTCCAAATCGGTCCAGCCGTTTCAGAGATTAGCCGGAACAAACAGACAGACAGACAAACAGACAAAAATTGTAAAAAATGTTAGTTTTGTATATGTATCGTGTATACATTTGCGGTTATTTTAATATTACAAACAGACACTCCAATATTTATCTGTATGGATAACCGTTAACTCAATTTGACGTCCCGATTTGTGTAGTCTGTAGCGACCCTGCCTCCTGCGCCAGAGGGTGTGGGGTCGATCCCGACTACTGGAAAGATATTGTGTGATGAAATATAGTGTTTTTACGGTGTCTTCGTGTTTATATGTGTATATTATGTGTATTTACAAAAGAAAAGTACGTTTAAGTATATTTATCAGTTATCTTGTACTTTTAGTATAAGCGTTCCTTAGTTTGGGACTGGAGAACGTTGTCTAAAAAACTTATTTAATACGTTAAAACATGTAGAAAAAGTACGAAAAGATTGTCGCCGCTGTGGGAATCGAACCCACGTCTTCGGCATTCGCGGCCTGACGCTCTAGCCACTGAGCTAAACGGCTGATAACCACAGAGACGAAAATCTTAACGCCTTTTTTCCGACTCGCACTTGACCGATTTTTTACACTTTATATAAACTTACCATCATCATCATTTTACAGAACATAATATACAGTTAATTATAATTTGATCCAATTCAACTGTAGCTATTATATAGCATTTCATCGCACAAATCTTCAATGTGGGTCTCTAAGTTGATACAACTTTTTCATTTATAAACCGATTTAAATAAAAATAAGACTAAATGTTAAGTGAAGCTTACTTCAATGCGTTAGTGAAAGTTTCGCCCAAATCGGTTAAGCCGTTTCTGAGATTAGCTTGCACAAATGCACAGACAAACAGACAAAATGTTTTACAATTTTATTTTGCGTTCCACTGCATTGATAAAAGTCTCACATTAATAGTTTTTCTCAAATATCTTCTATGTACAGACAACGAACAGTTACATTTTTATTATATATGTATTTATTCAACGTCATTTTGCGTATGTCGACTGTTCTTTTGTTGGATACTTCGCGACGATGCGTGCTCTCGAGTACTTCTACTCTGCATTTATCATATATATAAATCATCATTACAAAATTCCCTCAATGGCTCCAACAATCTCAACGGAGAAAAGTTCTTCACTCGAAAAACATAGACAGAACTCTCGGTGAAGTTTTGTTCTTAAGTGGATTCCATCGTTACAGGCTGGAATTTTTTAATTTTCACGGAACACGTCGCAATAAACGCGCGAAAGATTGTTGAAAGAAGAATGCGAAAAGGAAATAGGAAACTCTAAATGACGTACCTTCTATAAAAGTAGCAAATACTAAATGGCGTATTTAGTATTTGCATACAATACGTACGTATGGACAACGCTGTATATCGTACGGCATTTTTAGGGTTTCGCACCTTAAAAGTTAAAAAAGGAACCATTATAAGATCACCCTCGTTCGTCTGCCTGTCCGTGTGTCACCATCGATTTTCTCACGAACGAGCCGACCTAGCAAGTAAAAAGTACCAATATCTTCCTTAAATTTTATTACAAAATTTACCCATTTCTTTTTTATCGTGTTATACACTTAATAGGGACTATAGACCACAGTATCTGGTAAAAATTTCAACTTGCTAGGTCCGTTCTTGAGAAAATCGGTGGTCAATATTTACCAATTTAATTATGACGATATAATGTGTAGGTACGGAACACTCTGCGTATGAGTTCGACTCGCACTTGACCGGTTCTTTTAAATTTGTTTATTTGTCAGGCTAAGTATTACTAACTAATATGATTCACACTAGTTGACGTTCCCGACTACGGTCGAGTAAGTGAAATTATAAAAGAATACCTAATTAAAAAAAAATCGTAATTAAAGTTTATTCAAAGCCGAAAGAAGTGGTTAGTAACCGGTATTATATAGATTGAAGATTTTACCGCGTTCCTCGTAACATTCTATTGCGTAAACGATCAGCTGTCTCCCGCGTCAAGGTTAAACTGCCTTACGTCACAGTGACATAATCGCGTCTGAAACGTCTAATTGACAGATTGACAAATCTGACATTTTCTCGGATTGAATTTGTTAGATTTTGGGAAATCATTTCTTGTGGAAAGTACGAAATTTTCGTATTTTCCACAAGAAATGATTTCCAAGCTTGAAACTTTACACTTGATTTTTATGTCGAATTAATGGTTTACACAAATTATTAAAGTAAAGAAAAAAAATCTTTACCTTCTTATAATTTTTGGTCCAAAAAATTGGGTTCAAAGCTTGATCCATAGGCATGGCACATATATTGATGCGTTTTTGTTTCATAAATTACGTTTAACGTATCAAATAAATTGCACTTTTCACAATGGGAAGACGTTTCTGGATAGATACCTTCTTTCTACTTAGTAATTTATTTAAAGTCTTTCTTATTTAGTGGTAATGAGTAATTAGGCCCTAGAAAGCTGAAATAAAAAGACATTTTTAGGTTTTCGCTCCTTTTCACCTTCGTAATTAATATTCCTTGAATTAAAAATTTTATATTTTACCTATTTTACTGAAATCAAGCAACACAACAATTTCATAAATAAAAACATTTATAAGAATCATACTTTAAATTATTAAAAAAAAATACAATTGCAGATCTATTTGCTTTTCTCAACATTTAAATCCAAAAGCCATCCATTTAAAAATGTATAGACATTTTAATTTTTGTTCCTGTAAATAGTTTTCTATAATTTGACTTTTGAATTTTGCACAGTTGTTTTATTTTTTATTTCATTTATTTATTTAAACTTTTACACAAAAAAAAATTAGTATTGTGTATAGGCGGACTTAATGCCTAAGGCATTCTCTACCAGTCAACCTATGGGCGACGCAGAGACAAAAGAGGCAGGTGTAAAAAGTTTCAAACCAAATTTTAATTTAAAACAAAAGTTATATATATATTCATATATACATAAATTTAAGACATATTTTTTATTGTGGTATAATTTTCGATTACTAACTAACACGAGATCACTGAGGTGTAATGTGATGATTTTATAAAATAGAGAAAATTGAACAAAGCCAATCAAGCGCTCGTTTAAATATTAACGTTTAAGGAGGTTCACAATGGAGAAGAAATTACAAATAATTTTACGGTTTTTGCTAAACATCCAGCACAGGAAATTTGCTCGTAATCATAGATAAAACAGAGTCGTCCCGCTGTCTGTCTGTCTATGTAAGCTTAGATCTTTAAAACTACGCAACGGATCTTGATGATTTTTTTTACTAGATAGAATGATTTAAGAGGAAGGTTTATGTGTATAATATTACACATATATAGTAGTATACATTGCACCCGTGCGCAGCCGGGGCGATTCGCTAGTACTGTTATAAAAAATTAAAGATGTCTACACAAATCCGTGTACGGACCATCCAGAAATGTA